GTTACATATATATCTATATAGGTTACCGATAAAGTGTGAAATCTGTTATTTTATAGAAAAACTTGATATTTTATGAAATAACTAGGCAAGTCGGATTTAAGTATATAAAATGATTTAATTCTATGATTTAACTGGGTATTCTATAGAATAACAATTACTTAATCGTTAAAGTTTGAAATACAACACTAGAAAATTCGTTGAACCAGTTCTAGCTTTTGATTAGTGATTGCTGATTGACGATTTTGGAATATAAATAAATAATCAGCACACAATATCAGCACACAGGGTGTAATTCAGTTAGAAAATTATACATTACATTTATGTCCATGTCGACAGATCGACAAGACACAAATGTTTTCGCCCTTTTATTATAAATACGATTTACATGATAAAAGAAAACAAATTAGATCAGTAGTCAATTTGACAGCTTTCATCGTATTTAGAACTACTGCATTTAATTTTATGAAAAGTAATTTAAATATTGTAAAAATAAAATTTTGCGTGTTTTTTTTTCATTCCTTTCATGAGCATTAAGTTTTATAAAAAATTTCTCAATTCGACTGTCGGTAAAAAAAACATGCACTTAAGGTAGATTGTAATGGCCGCCTTAAATGTATACTTTTAGAATTAACCTAAAAAGTTAAGTAAAAACTAAACATTTGGTGCCGCAAACTATTATTAAAGTGAGGGGGAAAACATTTCCGACCTTTAAATAGATTAATCAGGTCAGTAGAAGTAAAGGTGGGATAAACTTCAGTTTACAAATTTAGTTGGTTTAGGTTTTAAAAAATCTCGAGAAAAAGTGCGTCTTATGTAATAGTGTAGAAAATATATAAAACTTTTTCAACATAAATTGTTTAAAATTATACCTTGATGTTATTAGTTGTTCAAAAACATTTAAGATTTAGATCGACTATAACGCATTTTTCAGAATTCGTAATTTCGAAATACGGAGAAAAATACTAGATATCCTCTCATTTTATCACTTAACTGGAAAATGTTTTAGAAAGTGTACGAGAAATATTCTGTCTGGTAGTGCCATCTGTTAATTCATAAAAGAATAATAGCTTGAATAAAAAATTAGTGTGCTTTTCACGATAGAGGGAAATGGAAATAAAATAAGTGTTCAGGAAAACTAGAAATAAGTTTTTGATAGTTTATTTTCAATGAATATTTCAAATTTTAATAATTAAGGGAATATGTTGAAAACATATAATCATATAAACATATAATTATACAATATCATATGCAGTTGCATGACAACACACTTGAGTTTTTAGTTAAAATTTTTAAAAAGTAAAAAAAAAAAGAAATTTCTACATTTTGTATTTATTTTTTGTTAAATGTTTTTTGTCAACTTTTTTTGTAAACAATTATATAATTTTTTATAACTGCTGCAAAATGCGTACTCCAAAAATTATTTTAAACGCTCCTTAGTTGATATATAACATTATTTGTCAAACTATTTTTAAAACTAAAAACTAAATTTAGTTTAAAATGCAATAAAATAAGTAATTTTTCTTCTGTTAAATAAACATTAGAAATAGATTTCAAGTGCAGCTGCTTGTTCTTTATTTTTTCTCTATTTGTTGGAATATAGTTTAATCATAAATTAATATTTATTTGGTATTAACATAATTTGAAATAAACATGGTTAAGATTATTATTTATTCTAGACTCATATTTTTAGGACAAAATTATTTTAATTTTGATTTTACTTGTAATTTCAGAAGTAACAATAAGGTTAATATTTAATTTCATACTTTTGCCACACTTTTTCCAGGACATAAAGATTGTGGGAAAAAATACTATTATAAATATACAAACAAATTAACTGAAGTTCCATTAAAAATGAGGGGAATGCGTACGTTTCAATTTTAAATTAAAAAAATATTAAATGTGTCTAAAGAATAATGATTCACCCATTTTTTTGATAATATTTTTTCGCATTAGTTCCCTTTCCCCAACATACCTATAATGCTAATTACAATTAATATAAAATTAAAAAAATTCTCATCTTTTTTCTCACTGTATAATGTTGATACATTAGGTCTTTTGAAAGTTTTAAGCAATTGTCCCAAAGCTTTTATTATTTCTCCTATTGTGCTGGTATGAAAATATTAAAAAATTATTATGTGCCCTGAAAAAATTCTTTTTAAGTTTCTTTTTTTTTATACATGAGTTTAAATTCATTGTCTTATTTTCAGCATTTACTTAATTGATATGAGTTAACCGATTAAACGAAAATGTGCGCATGCAACAAATATACATCAAAATTTGATAAATAAATTGTTATAGAATTACAAATACATATAAAAGGATGAAGATTAATGAAAAGAAATATTATATTGGAAAGTCCAGTTTTAAATAGCTGGTTCAATCAAACACTTTTGGAATTTTTTTAAATTTTTTTTTCCGGTTAGTGTTAGTCATAACAATTGCATATTAGTATCGTAAATTATAATTTCAATTATAATTGTAATTTTTATCGCAATTATAATTGTGATTTTTTAAACTTACAGTCGATATGTTACGACTTTAAAGGTTTTTCCATGCAATAAGTGATAGTTAAATTTATTAAGAAGTTGATTCAAGAAAAATTTTCCATTCCTTGTTTGTAGCATATTTATATTTCTTATTTAAATCTAGAGAAGGAAACTGAATATATGACCAAGAATCATCATATTCATAGTTTCTTAATATTTTATTTTAGATTGTTTTATAACTGTTGTTGAACAGCCCACCCAATTTTTAGTTTACGACTACTAATGTTTAATCCCGTAATTTTGAAGCCGATCCAGAAGCAACTCCCGGATCAAGCTTCGGACAAACTACCCTTCGTGACGGGGTGTCTTGACGGAACTAAGCTACATTTGCGTTGCGGGGAGAGGAAAAACACGAAAGTCTCCCACGGTTAGCCTGAAGGAAAAGGGACTCTAACCCAGAGGTCGCCAAAGTGGTCTATATGGACCCCCAGGGGTCTATTTAACAAAAGCGGGGGTCGATCTGAGACAGGGGGGCGAATGGGGGTCGATCCGAATCGGAAGGGTCGATTGTGGGTCGAAAAAAAAAACAGTTCTCAATACGCAAATCACACATACCTAATTAAGTATGTAAAATTTGTGAATTTTTTTTATAATTGACTCAATATCAGTTTCTTTATAAAACATAAATTAATAAACGTATATTTATTGGGGTGAAACAAGTATTTACGTACCACCGCGCAGTGGCACGAACTCAGCGCAGTTTATAAGTCATATGCATATGTGCGCTTGTCCAAATGTCACGTGTGACGAGCATTGACGTTACAAATGCAAATATCATACGCAGTTTCAGCTATCTTTGCAAACTGTGTTGAATATTTGCAGTGTCATTATTAAAACTTTTATAGTTTTGGATAATTAGTTATTGTTTCGATAAAACCATTCGTTTGGTTTAGATATCAATTTTAATTATCAATGCACAAAAAAGAAGGTAAGCATTAATAATATGGATTAGTACAGCCCGCGACAAAACTATAGCACACTTTGTATTTTTTTACGAAAATTACAAAATTGACCAATTTTGACGAAAATTAAAATTGACCAATTTTGAACCCAATATAGCGAACCTTGCAAAAAAACACCAGGCACACCCATCTCATTGATCAAGAAGCAGTAAATCTTTAGTTACTTTACTTATTATATCTACTTATGCATAATTACTTATTATTTAATAATAAGGTATTTAAATTTCAATATTAATATATTTTTCATAAAACTATTGTTGCACAATGTACTATTACTTTAATAAATGTTTAAAAATCATAAAATAAATGTACAAACACAGTATCTAATAGAGTTTTATTTAAATTAACAGAAAATTACTTCTGTGGGGGTCGATGGAGATTTCGAAAAATTATATAGGGGTCGATGATCAAAAAAGTTTGGTGACCCCTGCTCTAACCCATGATCCGTCTGTCACTGAGGATATTTTACGTCAACACTGTGGTCAGTGCGAGCTGGGAGCGGAATTCGTATAGATTAGCCATTGTTGGGGTCCGAACTTGGACCACGTCATTTGGAGGCGAGTGCTCTATCTCCTGAGCTACCTCGGCTCTTCTTAATATTTAGTGCACTAAAATGAAGAAAAAAAATCTTTTCACTAATTTTGAAACAGAGAGGGAGTGAATTTTAACAACATTTTGATCTCTTTCTTTCGCAGTAGGGATTTAGTAGTAGTTACTGATCGTCAACATTCAATAACTTTTTTTTTAAAATTTGATTCTGATTGGGAATTATTTTTTTATCAATAGGTAACTTTTTTCGACTTTTTTATTTTTCAAAAATATTTACTTTGGACTGAAAGTGCAATTTACGCAATGCGAGCTCTCTGAGAAATTTAGCCGCGTCTGACAGATTTGAGATAGATTGCACTGGCATTATTTTCAAGCTACTAAATTCTATGTATCGACATTTACTCAAAAATATAGTAAATTAATTTGAATGCATACTCATTTTCATTTAGATATGACATCAGTTACGTAACTTTAGCTGTAGTTCAAAAGTTAAGAAGCTGGTTACAGACCTAAAGCAAACACCTTGCACGTTAGTTATCTCAGTTATTACTACATTAATACTGACAATTGAGACAGAAAATTAATGATGATAATATTTATTATTGCTTATAATAAAAGATGTAGAAAAAAATACATTCAAAAGCTTTTGCTTTAAACAAAAATATAAAACTGAGATAGTTGGTTGTTTAATGTGTATTGTCTGTATATGTTCTTTAATCCTCTATACAAATATTACATTTCGAAACATTACACAGAAGAAAAAACCTATTTGTCTGATTCCGGTGAAAATAATATAAATAAATGTGGAAGGGGGACTATTGTAAGAAATTTATTGTATTGTTTGAAATTGTTGAATGAAAATATGAAAGCTGCAATATACATAGAAAAAACGTTACTTTATTCATAAATATCCTTGCCATAGCGATGCTGAAAAATTCATGAAGAAGAAGTAGTCCCTCTAGTCTCGAGGAATAAATCTTATCTCTTGTCTGTAGTGATAAAAAGTAAGTCCGACTTCCCCTTCCAGAGCTGGAAGATGATCTTCTAATGGAAGAATTTCATATTTTTGAAGAATGGAAACCAGATACCTGAAGATCTCCATCATTGCAATCGATTCTCCCGGACAATTCCGTCGACCTTTAAAGAAAGAAATATCGTTCTGATATACTGGAAACTAAATAAGTTATATTAGTAGGTTCACTAACATCGTATGTGGTTTATCAATAAGGTTTGTCCAAAAAGTAATGACACTGATCTTATTAGGGAGGGAATACGTGTCACTTGAAATCGGTAAATGGAGCAGTCAACTAACGCATGTTTGGTCACTTAGTCATCTCTGACCATTAGTAGAGTAACGACAGTCATTTCTTGAAAGCTTATTTTCAATTCCTGTGCACCATGTAGTGCTCGATAAATTGTCATCAAGTTTTGCGTGAAACTCAACAAGTCCTTAGTGGGAGTTTCCCTCTGATTAAGAAGGCTATTGGTAATTTTTGTTTATCGGAATGGCAAGTCTACCGCAAGTGATTTAAGGCATTTTTTAAAGACAATGTAGAGGTCAGAGATGAAGGCGATAGCTCTGGAAGCCATCGGTGAGTCGTATAACTGAAGTTTAAACTCAAACTATGGTATGTGTGTTCGTTCAGTAACACAGACATTAAGCATTTCGAAAAATCGCGGGTGATCTTTTCCTTGACAACTCTTCTTGCTGTTTTGCTTTTTTCATTGCCTATTTTCCAGCCAATCAAAAATTCTAATGTTCCTCAGCTACCTTTCAATTTTGGCAAGGGTCTCCTCTAGACTTCTACTGTTTTCGTGCTAAAACGATCACAATCGAAGCACATCTTTTTGATATTCGAGATATCGAACCTTGAGTCGAGTCATGGTTCTAAAAGTTATTCCGTAGAAAACCAATTCTGATGACGCGTTTGGTGTCTGAAAATTTTGCCAGAAGTGATCTATCAACCATGAGAAGAATATGTAAAACATTTTAATATGCTTATATTTGGTTTGGTGATAATACTTTCAGGACAAACTCTAACTATTTATCATTGGTTAAAATGAGAAACATTGTGATTGTCTCGTTGATTATTTAGAAGCAATTTGAAAATATTATGCAGAAACAAGTGGGTATTGCGTAAACAGATGAATCATATTGAGATGAAAGTGATGTAAAAAACATGTAACAGTTAGCCCGTATCACGATGCATTATGTCTTTCGCTACATTTCGTTATAGTTGATTACCCAGTCTCGATAAATAAAGCTGCTTAAAGTAGCATATCGTCCCCACAATATTGCAAAAAAAAAAATATATAAACCACCAATTCATTTAAAAGAAGTTTCAAAAATGAAAACCTGCTCTGGTAGTTTCATTATAGATATTTTTCCTCAAGGCTCAGGTGCGTACATAACTTTCTTTACAAAAAAAGATCAAAAAGTATACAAATTTTTCTCTTTTTATTTTTGAAAAAATATTTAAAAGACCTAGGTGAGGGTAGGTTCGACGCATTAAACCATTAACTTTTTTGAAAAATAATTCAACAAAAAAAATTTCGTTTAATTTGCGTGAAATTAATAACTTAATATTATCAAATACTACAATCCTTTAGTAGAAAAATTTCAGTCTAAAATACTTCCATCATAAAATTTAAGTTCTTTATATTTAGGCAGTAGACGGGAAGTTTGAGATTTCAACTCCTTATAGTACAATAATGGTCATGACACTGTATTTTAAGCAAAGTAGTGACATAGAATCTGCTAGTGTTATGTTTGACTTTGTGGAGTGAATAGCTATACACTTTTCCATTTTTCACTTTCTATTTATAGCCTTTTTGATTTTATGTAAATGCCGCATATTGTTGACATATAGATAGTTAATAATTAGTTTCTTGTAAAAAAATGCTCCAAGCAAATATTTCATCAAATTACAAAATAACTACATCGTCACTTTTAATAATAATAATTTTTTTGCAAGCGAATCTTAATGCAAATATGTCGATTAAAAAAATTCGTTGGTAATCCGAATTTAAATATAAAAGAAGGAAGAATAAACGAATGCTCAGCAAAAGCCAGGAATTAATTGTGGAAAACTTGATTAAAAGGGAATGCTCTAACTCCTATACCTTGCCCTTATATAAAACAAACAGTTTTAGATAAAACAGTTGTCAGATAAAATAGAGTTTCTAAAAAGTCAGATCTTAAAATTCGATTTTTCAGGAACTATTCGACCAGTTTCGCTCAAATTTTGTATTTTGTCATGTAAAATTACATTGTTAAATTACATTAGTAAAATTAACATTAAAGGTTCCAAAATTTGAAACTATCTAATTCGGACCAAACTGAGGGAAACATATTTCCTAGATTACGGTTACTCCTATATTTCGGGGGTTGAAAATCCGAATTCGTCAAAAAAGGTATGTTTATTCAGAGAAAGTACGTTTTTGTGTCGGATTTCGTAACTTGAAATATAGTCTGCTTCTATTAATTAGCATATTTGAAATTACCCCCCCCCCTCGAGGCATTTAAATTGAGTCCCAGATAGTGAAAATCCTATCATTAGATCAAAAGTTATATAGGGTCATCCGTTTTTTTTGCGCACAGCACATCTGAAAAAACAATTTTTAAAACTATAACTGGAATCGGAATTTAATCTAATAATTTTTAAATAGAGCTGACAGCTAGTGCACAATAAAAATTTAGAAGCTTTTCCAGAAATTGTGGAACACTATCGATGTTTTTAGCTTAGAAAATTTAATAATATGACTTAAGTAAATTGAGAAATTTGACACTCTCTCTTGACAAAGTTTCATTAATTCTATCCATAAAAATGCAAGGAAAAAAAACCTACGTGGTGCAATTTTCTACAACCTTAATAAGGTGATGAATTTAATCATATTTCCATTCAAGTTGAACCATAATACTGTTTAATCAAGTTTAAAAAGGACGATCATTGGTCAAACTACGGTTGTTTAGCACCATATTAAGGCTGAAGCTAATTTGAGGGATATTATGGTTCAGTGTTCTCTAAAATATCAAACACTTTATTTTTTCACTTTACAGGGATTTTATTAGGTTAAAAATGCAATTATTATTAATTTTTTAAATTTTTATTTGAAAATAGTGAATTATTGAATGCAAAAAATAAATACCGCAAAGTTATACAGCATAAAACAGGCCATAAAAATTTTAAACTTCGAACAGAAAATGAAGGTCACCCAGTTTACTATGGATTTCAAAATTTTTGTGATGGCAATCCTGAGTTGATAACGGAAACTATAAATTGTGTTAAAGTAACATATTTCAATTATATTATATTAATTATTATATTATATCAATTATATTTCAATTACACAGAAACAAAAAACTATTATACCTAATGAAAATGGTATGTAGCTTTCCGACTTCTTATTTAAAGTTCCATCTTCTAAAAGAAATCTTTCCGGCTCAAACTTTTCCGGTTCAGGCCAGTATTCTGGATCATTATGAAGAGCCCATGCATTTGAAATGACAATAGCTCCTTTTGGAATGTGATAACCTCCAATCTTTGTGTCTTCTCTTGCTCTGAAGAATTTAAAGTCAAATGAATTGGGGTTTGAAATTAAACCATTTCAAGTTAATCATTGAAATTCGTAAGAAAGTAACTTAAAAATTTTAACAAAAAAAGTCATAACGTTATGGGTTATAGCTTTATTACAGATATTAACAATCTTCTAAATTAAAAATAGTATGTTTGATTATAGTATAATTACTTAAAATAAATACAATGGGAGGTACCGTGGTGTTCAGAGAATAGAGCGCTCACCTCTCAATGAGGTGACCCGGGTTCAAATCTCAGCGATCGCTGGTCGATACGAATTCCGCACCTTTTTCGCAGCGACCACTGTGCTGACATAAAATATCCTCTGTGGTTGACGGATCAAGGATTAGAGTCCTCTTGTCTCTCGTCACACCTCTTAATATCTCTGGTTTCGTGTAAAATGCAAATTAGTTGGTTTTGCATTTCGTCTCTACTCAATAAATCTCATTTGCAGAAGTATGAAGAAAAAACTGATTAGACTGTTTCAATATTTGTTTCTCTCCGTTCAGTCAATTCATTGCAAGTCCATTCATTGCATTGCAGTCTGTTAATTGCAAAGTCAACACTGCGTTTAGATGTTAGATTTTCGAAATAAATAATGCTCTATTATTTTAATTAAGCAGAGAAAAAAGTTCAAAAGTTATGATTATATTTAGCAGTTTGTAAGAGGTGGAAGAATAAGTTTGTACCGAAAAAGTCCTAATGGTGAAAGTCCTAATGGTGCTACGGTTTTCCATCTTTGACCTTCCATTGTTGTAGCGTACGTGTAAGGAGGCTTTTTTGCATCAGACCATCGAAATTTTCCATCTTTACCTAAACCTCCTTGTATCTCATCCCGGCAATTTTTTTGAATATCAGGAAAAGACGCCAAATCTAGAAATAACCACAGTAGGGACGTTCTGATCGTTTCACTGCCAGCAAGTATCATAGCTTGAGAATTAGCAATAAGGCTATTTACTGCAAAGAAAGGAAATTGTAAAATAATTAATTGAACTAACTCTCAATCGGCATGTTTTTGTTAATGATACAAATTATTGAAAATTACGATGTTTTAAATAGTCCAAACAATGTATGAAAAAATTTATACTGATTTAAGGCTCTGGTTCCTAGCGTTCATGTATAATAGAGCTACCAAAATTAAAATCTCAAATGCATTGACATATTTCTTGTTTATAATTAGAAAACACCCAATGCCTTTCTTTATTCAATACAGAAAATTTAAAAATAAATGTTTCCTGTTTTTCTTATTAAAAATATCAATTTAGAGGCTTCCGATAATTAAGCATTACAAGACAGAATTCTTAAGAAGATTATTCTTAAAATTTAATATTTATTCTTTAAATTTTGTAGTGTTTATTATTCAACTTCCTATATTTTACATAATAGCTTTCTTACATTTTATAAAACATGTCGCCAAAAAATAATCTTCAAGATTTTTTTATAATCTCCTTGTATAATATCTCCTTGTTTTTTAAACATCTCCTTGTAAAGGTTATTTTATAAATTTAAAATTATAAATAAATATTTAATTTGGGAAGAATTTTTTATTTTATTATAATTTTTTCTCAATATACCTGGTTTTATCCAACCAGATAAGTTGAAATCAAATACTAGCATATTTTCAAAAAAATAATAGATTCACATTTCAAAGCATAGTTTTTTTTATAATTGAATAATATTTTTTAGAATTAAAAGGCAAATTAAACATTTAAGTATATATGCAAGCAATTTCCTAAATATAGTTGGGTAACAAAAAAAAATTTAAAATTGGTTTTTAAGGCTATTAGCGTTTTTAATTGAAACTGATTTTTGCGAATTTTGCTCAATCTAAAAGTGGCATTAAAAATTCCAAAAGGACAATTTAGAATGCATCAGAAATTGTTTCTGGTTAGTCCTTCGATTTACTCATTGCCTACATTACCAGAGAAATTGCTTTCGATGTTTTTTTCTTCAGATGACTTCATTAATTTCAAGTATCCATCGATGAAAACTAATTCTTCTGAATTTTCAAAGCTCGATTTTCTTAGTTCTACTTCGTTTCTATAAATGTAAATGAATTTTAGCATTGCCAACGATAATATAAATTTGAAAAAAAAAAANATATATATATATATATATAATGCATATGCTGAAAATTTTATGCTTACCTCATAAAATCATATAGTTTCTTCATATTGTTATACTGAACTCTAAGTTTAGAAAAACCAGTTTTTGCCAAAAACTTCATAAGATCTGGGAAATAGGTTACCGCTCCAGCCTGTCCAAAAACAGAAAGACCATCTACTGCTTCGTTTATCATTTTATTCCGAGAATCACCAGTCGGTATGCGTCTTCCCAAAACCATGCTAGTCATGTTATTTGATACACTGTGAGAAAGGTAGTCATGCAAATCAACAGGTTTTCCATCAAATTCAGATACACTTTTGAGAAAACTTTCAATTTCTGCCTACAATATTACAGCGTTTTTAGTAGTATACATGAGTTAGATTTGTAAATTACTTAAAAAATATGGAAGAACAGTAAAAAGATACTTTTTTTGAGTTATAAAAGCAATTCATATAGTATTTGCATATCGTAAACTTGTGTGAAATAATTGTTAAAATGCGAATGAGAGGGAGCCGCCAAGTTTTGTTGATGAGGCCAGTCCTGTCCTTCCTGTTCATACGCTCTGTTCAGGGTATCAAGTCCTGTTTTTACAGCCCAAATTCTTGGACTAAGAGTGATTGAAATTGATGGAAATTTGTATTGCTTGGATCGTGTAAGCGATTTTCCGTGTTCTTGGTCTAAACCCTTGGATAATAGTAGAGCATGTTCTATTTTACGACATCCAAGTTTTTTCTTCCATAACCAATCAGCTTTTGAAATTTTATGACGTCAGCGAACGAGCATATGATCGTTTCATTTTACTCTTCGTTTCCAGGTATTCTGATCTAAATAAATTAATCTCTTAGTATCCATTTGTGTTATTATGGTTTCACTTGATTTTATTTTGTAATTTTGTCTTTATGTAAGGAATGATTTTTATAATCTTGAACATGAACAGTATACATGTGCTAGTTAATCATCCGAACAATTACTGATATTCCAGAAAATGTGTAGTGTCCGGAAATTTTCAAATTCTATGGACAGATAAATTTCTCCAAATCCTCGGATTCAAGAACTTGGGCAACTTAAGAAGGCTTTAACAGTTTCGGTTCGAATGGTTTGCCCCTTAAGGTGATCTTCAAAACAAGGAAAGAGTCTCAACTGGTTCTATCACGTAACCAGCTCTGCTTTTGCTTTGCGTATGTTTGAGAGATGGAAAACGTCTTTGCTCGCTACAGAGCCGGTTTTTGTTTATATTCAGAGCAGAGATGAGGCCTTTGTGAGGAGCATATTTTTGTTTCGGTTTTGATTTCGGTTAGCAGTTGACTTAGTTACGTCCCAAATAAAAATTTAACTAGTTGTCCATTGAATTTGTGTCTTATGTACTTATGAAAAAACATATTAATAAAATATTTGTCTATTAGAAAACCAACTTATCATACTTAAATTTTCTGTTTCTCTAGAATCTCCTATCTTATGTGAAATAGTTTTCAGTAATTTTTAGGATTAAAACTTCAGGATGTTTACAGTGTCACTCGCCAATCATATTAATGTTTCATATACAAATATTTTGCAACATACGGTAATGTTATCAGAAATTTTTTTTTCCAAGTCGTATTACATGTAGATATATACCAAAGATATTACTTTAGCATTTCATCAAGATTTAGTACAGGAAAAAATACCACCTATTACGTGTTTTGCGTGAAAAAAAAACGCATTGGTTGCCCTTTATGTTTATCTGAACAATATTATAAAAATTTGTATTGGAGTATTGCGTACTCACAATAAATCTGAGTGTGGCTCAAAATATTTATTGATGAAATGAAAAAAAGAAGTTCTGATGAACGGTCAAAAGTATGATCTGTAAGAACTTATTGACATAAAATTATTCTTATGATATGGATCATTTTGTTGTATATATCGTCATAATATTTAATCATCGTGTTTAGCAAATGGAATTATTGTATATAATCCTAAACTAATAATTCTTATTTCATATTGCATTGTAAGTATAACTTTACTGACTCTTATGTGTATCTTATCTTATTGCAATTACAAATTTCAATTTTTCTGAATGACGAAAATGGTGATGGTTACTTTACTCCAAGTAGTGTAAAAAAACATTGTCCGGAAATACTAAGAACCAAGAGAGTTGCATGGCGTTGCACTACATCACTTTCGTGTAGAGTAGTTGCTACCATTTTCGACGTGAAGACATACTAAAAATCTTTGAATTAGACGAAACATAAGTCATCAATGTGAGATTGACATGCCTTTAAAAATGAAGAAATTTTTAACTTACATCTAAATCGTCTTCCCATCTTGTTTTCCCCATACCTATATCTTTTATGACTCTCATAACGTACCGACGCTCTTCAATCCATTCCGCACCGTTGCTTGAAACAAAACCTTTTCAATATTAAAAAAAAGAATTACAACATTGACTAGTTTAAACAAAATTTAATTTTATTGTATATTAATTTTAGTTAAAAGTAAATAAAATGCAAATTTTAAAGTAGAAAAAAAATTTAAAAAAAATTCTCTCTATTAAAAAATTGTAAGGACACCATCAAATCTGTTTTATGTTAATTTAGTGGTTAGGTTAGGTAGCATCATTGTAGTATTAAGCATACTTTTTGCCGTTTCAGATACATTGTAATTTGGAAAGCTTGTAGGGATATTTATCTCAGAAAAATGAATAAAATCGTTTAGGAAAAATTGATTTATTAGGTAAATATAAAATAGAATATGTATGACCACATTCAACAGTATAAAAATTAAGAAAAGAAGTCTCTTAAAGGGATCAAGAAAATCATTCTCTTCACATCGAGAATATTATGTAGAGATTAATTATTCAACGGTTGGGACCAACAATTCAATCGCCAATAATTCCAAATTGAAAGTAAGTGAATTGTTCCCAACGGACAGCATGGGAAGAGATCCATGGTTGGCGAATTATTGAAAAATCATAGTCCAAAATAAAGCCAACCCCCATAATCAATATTAAATTCGGAATGAAAATCAAGAATCAATATTAAATTAGAAATGCTGAATAAAGCCGGTGCAAGAATTAACGATGAGCTTCTTAAATCTTTATTTTTGCGTAGGTTGCTCACTAATGTTCAGCAGACTTTGGCGATTTCCAACGATAACCTAGACAAGCTGGCAGAGATCGCCGATAGTATTATGGCTACAACAACTAGCGGACAGTCAGTCAGCACAGTTGCGGGTTCGATGGATCATCCAGATTTGTGGTCTATATTGACAGGTATCACAGCTCCTCTCTCATGGTTGGAAGCTCGTACAAGTGACCGATCAAGAAGATCTAGTTAGAAACTTTCTATTTGCCGAAGCCGACAGACTGCGAATTTGCAGTTCTGCTAGTATCACAACACACTTGAATTTTTAGTTAAAAATTTTAAAAAGTGAAAAAAGAATGTTCTACATTTTGTATTTATTTTTTGTTAAATGCTTTTTGTCAACTTTCTTTGTAAGAAATTATATAATTTTTTATAACTGTTGTAAAATGTGTTCTCCTAAAATTCTATTAAACGCCGTTTAGTTGGTATCTAACATTATTTGTCAAACTATTTTTAAAAATTAAAACTATATTTCGTTTAAAATGTGATAAAAATAAGTAATTTTTTTCCTACTAAATAAACAGTAGAAATAGATTTCAATTGCAGCAGCTTGTATTTTATTTTTCCTCTATTTGTTGGAATATAATTTAATAATAAATTAATATTTATTTGGTTTTAACATAATTTGAAATAAACGTGGTTAAGATTATTTATTCTAGACTCATATTTTTAGGTCAAAATTATTTTAAATTTGATTTTATTTGTAATTTCAGAAATAACAATAAGCTTAATAATTAATTTCATGATTTTGCCGCTCTTTTTCCAGGTCATAAAGCTTGTGTGGAAAAAAATTAGCAAAATACTATATTATAAATATACAAAAAAATTTATTTCGTAGCGCAGATCATATTCATCATGTAATAACTCTCAAGGAGAACCGATTTTCCACATTATTCATTTGTCAAACATTTTTCAGTAAATTATTAGTAATAGGGATTACTGTTACTAGTAAACCTCAAAATGTAACAAATGGCGATCCATTTATCTTTTTTCTGAAAAATGGACCATTTTCCCCTCTTGATATTTAGTTTAATTTCTTTCGCAGATAAAGAGCAATTTTGAACTAAATTCTCTAGAAAAAAAATTTGCACACGGTATTACATAAAAATTTGCTTTGATTTATTCTCATTAAAGACTAGCCTAAATACCTCAAGTTTTAGCCAGTAGTAATAAACTACATTTTATGCTTACCCGTTTCTATAGCAGTACATAGAATTAGTGGCAAAGAATAAAATTGAATTTGTTAAAAAAAAGGGTACGTGAGGAAAATTTGTCACTATTTTACTATTTTACCTGAAATCAACATCCAAAAATCTACCAGAATCACCTAGTGGGTTTCAAAAGAGTTTTTTTTTTTTGGTCACAGACCTATATAATTAAATTGTAAAACTCTATATTTGATAAAAATCCTAATTGGCTAATTAAACTAATATTTACATAATATTAGTAATAAACAGTGCTGTTCTAACTTATTTCCTTAAATTGATTAATGTTAAGTTATTTACCTTCGAATATAAAAAACGCTGTTTTAAGTTTGAGAAGGTTTTTTCAAAGAATCTGAGAGTCATCTTTATACCTTTATTATTTATACGATTTTATGTTATTTTCTTATAAATGTTTTCGAATGTGCGGTTGCATAATAACAGATTTTGTAGAAATATTAAAATCAAAAACTTTTTTTCAACTCTTTTGTGGTATTTTCTTATAAATTGATGTTTTAACTTCATTACGATATTCTACATTAAAAACTTTATAAATCTTACAAAGAAAAAAAAATTGCGAAATATTTTTCGAGTAAAAAATTGAGGTTAAGGGATCCATAATTTATCCCGATATCATATGACGTGTAATAGTTACGTTGAAAATTAAAAAGAAAAGCCATTTGTAATAGTAAAGTTTGATTACTTCGTTCAATAAGCTATTTTTAGAAAGGCTCTCAAATATACATAAGAAAAGTTATTATCTAGTGAAATTATTATGTAAGTTTTTGATTTTTTTTGTTCCAGCTTCTTAAACAAAATGTTGGAGTTTGGTATCATTAGAAATGGCTCGCACGTTTATAAGGATAAAGTTTTTTATGTTACTTTCTTAAAACATTAACTTAAATACATGCTGTATTGGAAGGACTACAGAGTCTAAAATGCACCATTTAAATGGGGAAATATCCAAGAATAAAAATCCTTGCATAGAATTAATTATACAGCATGAAAAAGCACAATTAGTACCACATAAGCATCTGTGTCGAAATACAGAATTAAAAACTCAGAAAAAATCGTAAGCACAAGTTACGGCAAATAATAATAATAATTAAAAAAAAATCGGATTGATTAATAGGGAGTGTGAACAAATTTGAAATTACGTCAGTTCTATAATATTTAAAATGAGGGAGGTTAAGTTGGTTAATAGTAAACGTAGCGATGGCTCAAAGGTAAAAGGCGCTGAGCTGTCATCGTGAAGGACTGGTGTTCAATTCTCAGTGGCGGCTTGAAGTCAGCACTTTTTCATATAGTATTGATGATTACAAACTTAAGATGAAGCTAAGGCGGCTTAAGCGCAATGCTGACCTCCTTGCATGTCTTTGATCACGACGCTGTGCGGCATGACCTCCTGATTATTTTTTTTTAGAATAAAAACTTCTTTAAACTCAAATTTAATCATCATAAACTTTGGAGACTGATTCTGGTGTAATAAAATAAAACAATCAAATTATCAAGATTTTAATTAAAAATTTTATTGGATTGCGAGATTAATTTTCGATCAGCAGAATCAATGATGTTAGGTCAGCAACGATAGCTTCAAGAACAAAAAAATCTTTATGAGAGTGCATTTAGAACAGATTTTAGAGGCATGGTAAACAAATGTGTGAAAGGCAATTTTGTTTTGATTAGGGAATTAGAAGTAAGGATTATAAGAATGGAGGAAAGCCGCAGGCTGTTTCCATAGTCAGAAATGAATTAAAGTTGCGAGTAATAAGAAATTGTAAGCATGGAAAATACTTATTAATTTCCTTTTATTCCATGTAATTATATAGTTTTAGAAATTTAAGTATAAAAGGAAAAACAAATTCATTGTTTTAGCTTTTAAAAAAATAAATAAATAACATAAGCTGTGCTTTTAGCTGGCACTTTTCGCAATGCTAAAAAAGAAAGTAATTTTTTACAACAAAATATTTAAAATGCATATTTGTTTTCGTTTTAAATTAATGGTGTGAGATATTTTATACGGCATTGTTTCCTAACTAATGCGTGAGTAAAATAGTTTTTATTCCGACCGATCGACTTTGTTTATCAATTGCCATGACAATGTCAGTGCCAGTCACATGACTACTTTGCTATTTTTTGAATATAGAATTAATATGGCGGGAAGACAAAAACAACCTCTTCTCATTCTGCTTAAGCATTGTTTTTAACATAGTCTTCGACACACGAAGCAAATATTTTTCACTCTCTGAATTTGCAGCTATAGTAGACTCGGTAAAATCTTTAAGCCTAGAAATATAAACTATTCTTTTTGTAGGTATTTTTACTGTTCTGTAATTTTAAATTTTTTAAATTTAAATTAAACATTATAAAATTCTTTAAAGAGTTGATTTTAGAGCAACTTTTCCATCTAAAAGTAAGTTTTTATTTTTATACTTTTTAAATATTCGGAATATTTATTTTGTCTCAGTATGTTTATTCTGAATTCTGAGAAATGCTTCAAACATTTTTATAAATGTTTACTTAACTTTAACATAATAAAATGCTAAATTAAAAATATACTTTATACCAATACGAAATACCAATATTTTAAATAATATATATATTTTAAAATAATTTTTAATGAAGATCATTATTTTTAAACTCTTTAACATTATTTATTGAAATAAAATAATTTTAAAACTTCAAGAAACAACTTATCTCTGCATGAAAATGTGATGAATAAAAAAATTTGTACAATTTAAAAAAAAGTGAGTTTAGATAGTCTCGACAAATTTATCAGGTATTGTGTTCATTTTATTTAAAGCTTATCTTAAAATGTGTTGCAAGAATTTCTTATAAAATTTTTAAAGGAAACAGATAAAAAGTCGGTGTACAACAATAATAAGAACAACTATAAAAATCCAAACAAGCCACAAACTTTTCATCAGCTTTCTTCAAAAATGTCATTAACATTTTTTTTTAGAAATTTCACACTTTTTCATGTTAGGATTCATTAAGTCTTTGAAAAAATTTGTACCTTATTTTTTTTTCCCGAAACAAGTTTTGAAAGTACTGCTCCAAACAAAAGAAGCACGTGGTTACAGATAACTTCAGAAATACTAATTCGATGACGTGGCACCAATCCACATGCCATTCACATTGATGACTGAACTTGTGAAAAAACAATTAAACATCAAAGAACATGCGAGAAAATCTTAAACAGAATCGTTTATAATTTTTTATAAGCATGGCTAATGTTAAACTAATACGAAAAAATCCTTTTTAAAACATCTATCCCAAGCGGAATAATCAACATGAATTTTAAATGATTTTGCGGACCAGGAGCTAAAATCGCTCCTTGTGTTGTTTAAATTTCAGAACCCTAGCATTGATGGTTCTATGTAGTTATAAACGATTCGAAATAGCTTCTGCGACAAGGAAAGACAACACAAAAGGAAAGTTAAAGAATATTGGAAATAAAATTGAAAAAAAATTATACAATTAATTATGTGTGAGTAAATAGGCAATTTTCTTCGTATCGTTTTTTTTCTAACGTCTGTTGCTTCCCTTCAGAAGTAATATTTTTTAAAAGAAAGGGATTTTTTTGGAAAACTCATTCATACTCATACATTGAACTCATTCAAATATGTAAGAGAATAGATAATTTTCGTTGTGTAACTGCTTTTTTGAATTCAATATTAAAGGTGAAAAATAGTTTAACCAATGAATAAGTAACGAAACTAACTACCTAAAAATTAACTAGCGAAAGATTTCACTGACGGAAATGATGTAATATACTTAAAAAGTAGTTTATTATCTTTCATAAAGTATTTATCAACTTCAAACGTGTTTTCTTGTGATAGTAGTACTAATCGAAACTCGATTTCAGAATGCTTTACATTTATTCAAATAATGATACATTTATTCAAATAATGATAATGATTTATTTAAATTATGATAATTATCTTTCTCCAGAATTACAGGTTTTGATATCACTTTTGTAAAATTAGTAGTCAAAGTTAATTTTTATGATATGAAATTTTTCCTTATTATTTCGTGATGAATTCGAGAATTGATTACTACTTCAATTAATTATTGTCATCTTTTTTTTTTAAAAAAAATAAAGTTTTCGTAGTGTAGTTTGAAAATTTAGCCTCATAGATTTTCCATGGTATTACAAAATAAAAATGTGACTTCAAAATATACGGTTAAAAGAGCGCAGAACTAAATTATTTTCGAGTAATTTTTTATCCAACGTTTGATAACTGAATGATAACTAACCAAAATAAGCAGAAAAAAGGTTATTGAAACATAAGCAAAAAAAAAATTTATTAGTTATTATAAAATTCTTTTTAGCAGACCTTAAAAATACTAGTTTCATAAAAATTGGTTTACATTAAATACAGAGAGCTCAACATTAACCTTATATTGTTGATACTATTATTCAAAATGGTTGAAAACTGATTTGTTCCTACAAATTTGTGAGGTATATTCATTAATAGAGAATTCAATATGTATTATACCAGAGGTCTTGTATTTTATTTTATAACCGTCGTTGAACAACCGACCCAATTTTGGGTTTACGACTATTAATGTTCAACTCAGCTTTGTAATTTTGAATCAAATCCAGAAGACAAGGGAACTCCTGGTCCAAGTATTGAGAAAAATTTTCCTTCGTGGAGGACTTCTTGATGGAACTAACTCACATTTGCGTTACGCGGAGAAGAAAACAAGTTAAACCTCCAACGCCTAGCCTGACAGCAAGGGGGACTTTAACCCATGATCCGTCTACCACTGAGGATATTTTACTTGAGCACTGTGTTCGGTGCAAGACGGCCACGTCCAACTTTTTAGAAACTGAATCTATAGAAACTGTTTCTAACTCAACCCATTGTAATTCAGCCAAGAGATGACAAGTAAATGTTTTTTCTAGAAAGTGGAGTTATGAATGAGGTTTTTTCTGTTTATTAAAAAAAAATCTCTCCATAATAAGAGGATTCTAATGTTCATTATTCTGACTTCTAAAGCAAAAAACTTAGATGATATAATCTGAAATTTTACGCATTTTTAGAAATTTCATTTTTGCAAACATGCAATGTTTTTTTTTCCCTGGCTGCGTAATTTTGTTGCGTGGAAGCTATTAGCAGAAGAATATTGATTTTTTGCAGCCACGTACTCCAAATCAGAAGATAAAAATTTAAATTTATGGTTTTTAAAGTTCTTTAATTTTATTGTATTATGTTGAAAGATAAACAAAATACTTATTTCTTTCAATTTTTCCTTTTATTCCAGCGATATTTCCTTCCCCGTTTTTCAGTTGCGTTCTATGTTTAGAAAAATGCTCCTTTTTCATTAGAAATCAAAAGGGAAATTCAGCTATTTAAAATATAAAATTCAAATCACATAGGTGAAGCTAAAGTCCTAAGGGGTTTTAGTTTACTCGTTTTAAATTTGTGGTAAAAGGTTTTTATATATTAATTTCAGTTGCTTTATTGCGGGATAGCCTGGTCAGTAGGGCGCTAGCCCCATGTCCGAGAGTTCGTGGGTTCGAACCCCGTCGGCCGAAGACTCCTCGTGTAGTTGGTGACTGATGAACGTTAAAATTCTGTCTAGTCGCAAAGTCCTCCATGTTCCCATAACAAATCAATACCTCTGGTGGTACTGGATCGAGCGTTCTCTGAATCAGGTCAAAATTACGATCTGTGGATGAATGAATGGAACAGCCTTATAAATAGGTGTGACGTATGATGTGGCAGAAGTCGAATTCTTAGCTATAGATGGCGCCACTGAAGTACAAGAATCGCACACTCTGCCTTAAATTTGTTCGGTTTCACCAAGTAGGCTTGCCCGTGTGGCAAGTGGCATTAGAACCAACCAACCAACCCGTTGCTTTATTAGTCGATGAAGTGAAAGGAGCAAGAAAGGTTATTTGAAGCCAACTGCGCAAGCAGTTCTGAGGGTTGGCGAGTACTAGCGAGCAAGGATTAGCCTTTAATATGGTTAAAATTAAGTTTGGACAAAATTAAAACAATTAAAAATGCATACGCTCTTATCGCGAAGCGATCTGAATGTATAAAAGATGCGGTAAGGCGTCATGAACAAACGAAGTAATCTCATTTCTGGAAAATGGCGAGCGGTAGCAAGTGGGGTTGAAGACCATATTTAAAGAAATAATAAATAGACAGTTTATGAATATTATTATTATAACTTCTGTTTATATTTAAAAATTAATTATTTCTAATTAATAATGGAATTTAATTATAATCGCTCTACCTTTTACATTCATGAAATTTTTCTCTGTAATAATAAAGCACAATAACAAATATCGCTATACTGATTGTTCCTTAATCATTACTCTTATTGTTGAAATACTTTTCAAAAGACGAAGTAGAAAAAAAAACATGCACATAAGGATTCGTAAATTAATATTCAAGCGAGGAAGAAGAAAAAGCGATATTAAAATCTGACAATCCATAATGAGGAAACCCAAATGTAATCTTAAAAGCAGTATGATTTCCAGATAAAGTTCGCACTCGTTTCTAATAACCATCTAATAACCATACGGCAATCAAACAGGTTTTGACATAACCAGTCCTAGCTTTCTCACTCCAAATTCAGTATATTATAACATTTTTATTTGCATCATGGCTAAAGTATTTGTTTGCGACCTACGTGAATTTCTGTGATTTCAATTTTTTACAAACATTTTATAAATATACAATAAGGATTTTACTACCTTTACGATTTACAATCTAAACTATGAAATTTTTCTATTTAAAACTAGTAATTCTTTGTTACTGATGTCACTACCTTTACCGTTACGTTTTCCTATGAATTTCCCTTTTAAGGCAATAGCTATTCAAATTTTATGCACAAGTGAAAAAAAATAGATAAGATTTGTTAGTGATAAAAAACATTTTATCAACAGAGATTGTCGTCATTACAAAAGTATTTTTTTTTATTCTACCTTTTTCATAATAAATCAATCGATTAACCTTTGCGTGTGAGCAATAGCATCAATGACAAACTTCTAAGAAATAATGGAAACCCGCGAAACTCACGCAAAATTTATTGTTATTTGTCGTAAGCGTGTGTCTTTTTGCACTTATTTTTCTTACATTTTATTTTTCTACATTGATTGGTTTCAGTAAAATTTTTCTTGGAATTGCATAGCTACTTTAACTTTTAGATTGAACGAGTTTTATTTTAAGGAAAAAATAATGCTATCTATCAATTTTGTCACATTTTAAATCGATTAATGCTAGTTTCAATGTCAACTTAAATATACAATCTGTATCTGCATGGTTAAATATCATCATTAAGTGTTCAAAAATTAATTTAAATTTTCTGCTTCGTACCGAAACCTGATATCTCAAAAGTATTGTACCAAAGTATTAATTCAAAAAACTGAACTCAGTGGCGCGACAGCCCTAGAGGGCCAAGGCCTACTGTGCCCATCTCAGTTTTCTTGACCTTGGGCTCTGGGGTGCAAGAGCAGATGTTCCGGTCAGGTGGTCAGCCGAACAATTAATTCAAAACCTAACTTAAAAAAATTAATATCTATAACGTACGTAGTTAATCTTTTTAACGTTATTTTATTTTATTACTTTATTTATTTTTAACCTTTTTTATCTAATCTTATACTAACGTTACTTTATAATCTTTTGTTAAATATAACTCTTAAAATCGTCTATACTGTCTACGAAAACTATACACTAATATACTACAACTAGTTTTGCGATGGTTACTATTAGTGACTAGCTGGCAATACGGTACATTAGCCATTATATTTATTGACTACGAAACACTAAAAGACGTTATTTTTCAATGTTTACAATATAGGTGAGAAATTAATAAATGACACATTAGAAGGATCCTATACTACTGTTTGTCTAACTAAAGAACCTCATCGTCTTGTCTACAGTTTGTCTATGGAAATAAATCACCTTACCTTGTCTACGGTCTGCCAATCGAAAGAACGCCCCTCACCATTCGTTTGAAACAGTGGCGGTGACTATGGTTACGAGGTTTAACTATTTCAAATAGGGATGTTTGGGTCAATATTTAAGGGTGGTTTTGGCTCGGGTCGGCGAGAGAATGGGAATCAAAGGAGAGAGAAGTTCACCTTTTTAATATCCTCCTTTTTAATTATTCCCTTGAAATACGCTATTTCTCGTTTCTGTTGCAGCAGATGACTCTAGACTTCGGGGTGAGGGGAGTTCTTTTCATAGACAAACTGCAGAGCACTGTAGGTGACTATGATTACGAGGGTAAACTGTTGGGGTGCGGAGTAAATATTTAGTGCACTGTACATGTCTCCCGATATTTGAAAAATACATCAATTAAAAGAATGTAGTAAACTGGGATCTTATTTAAATTAAAATATTTCGTGTTTGAATGGGTGAACAGGTTTTGAATGGGTCAACTTGTTTTGACTTTCCACATTTGAATGGTTCAACAGGTTTTGACTCGAGTCAGCAAATAGAAGCTTCCAAAGCTCTTTTCATTCAAATGCATTTTGTCTTGTTTCCGTAACAGTAAAGAACCAACAGACACTGTGACGAGAGTAGTTCTTTCGACAGACAGATAGTATCTCGGCGGTTTATTCCTCGAGATTTTGAATCACTTTGTATCACAATATAATGCAAATGCTCTGCAAAATTAATATGGTACCAAAATGAAAGACATTGTCATTTAAATTGAAACATTTTAAAATTTAAAGCAATATTTAAGCCATTTTAAATTTGAAGGTATTGTTTAGAAACCAGCTCCGTTCATAGACAAACCTTTCTGTTCCAAGATTCATCCCTACGGGATTGTTGTTTATTTAAGTGAAGAATAGTTGTTTTTATTTCTTCCTAGACAGATTCTGCATACAGAACTTATTTCCAGTTTCAAAGTTTGGAAAAAGTAAAACATTTCTTTTTTTAATAACAAAATGCATCCAAAAGTATTTTTGTTATATTCTGTAAGGATTTTATTTTATATTGTAAATAACATTCATTGATTTTTTTCATTGTCGAGAAAAGTTTTTCCCTAGAAAATAATGACTACAAATTTCACTCTGAGGTTAGATTAAAAAAATGTCAGTTTAGTGTATAATGACTCTGAACCTTAAAATAACATTAGTGTAAAGAATACCTGGCAAGTGTATACCAGACAATGGCCCTTTACCATAAGAAATAGCAGTGCGTGAAAATAGCAGGTCAGTGCATATCAGACAATAACTCAAATATTTCTGACAGGTTTTTATGCTAGTTAATCCGGTTATTTTTTTAATGTTAAACTATTGTGATAAAAACTATTTAACTATTGTGGCAAAAATGCATAATTTTCGCATTCCGGAATACACTTATTTTGAATGTTAAGATTCATTTCCCATTCTCAGCATTCCTTGCATGGGTAACTTTCAACATTAAGTGCTATTGTCCGGAATTCCCTACGCTAACGCTTTTAAAGGTAAAGAGCTCAATTCCCATTGTTTCATTCATTGGCAGTTTCCCTAATTGAAACTAAGGGGGAAATTCATAACCAACTGCTGGCAAAAATACGCAAATAAAAAAATATTAAAATAAAAGTGAAAACACTTCTACAGGGAAGTAGCTTTGAATTGAAGGGATAGATTAAAGCTGTGCTGGTTTCAGAAAAATTCTGATAGGTGTTTGTATGGATTTATCTATAATATTCATATACACCGAAGAGCCATTGCATTATGACCACCCTGCTAACAACACGTAGGACCACCTTTAGTCCTCAAAACTGTTAGCACCCGCCGTGGCATTGATTCCACAAGGTGCTGATAGGTAGTCTGAGGTATCTGGTACCAAGCGCTCATCAACTGGTCCTGCAATTCCCTCACATTGCGAGGGGGTAGCATGGCAGCACGAACATGGTTTTCCAAGTAGGATCACAAATGCTCTATTGGATTAAGGTCAGGTGAATTTGGGGGCCAAGACATGACTTGAAAGTCACTGGAATGTTCCTCGAACGATTCGACCCTTATGACATGGTACATTATCCTGTTGGTAAACACCATTCCCCCCAGGAAAAACTGTTGCCATGAGTGGGTGAACCTGGTCTGCAACTATGTTCAAGTAGCTAACAGACGCCAGGGATTGTTCTATGAGGATTATGGGTCCTAATGTGCCCCATGAAAACATTGTTCCTGGGCGAGAAACCATGAAAACCTGGGCCAGCTCATTGTTATTGATGGAGGGTGGTCATAATGTAATGTCTATTCGGTGTATATTGGCTATTGATTTAATAGAAACAAAATAATGTCAGACTCTACTTATCATGGATAACCTCGAAATTATTTTAAGATATAGGCCAAAAAAAATATTTTTTTCAATCAATTAAAGTGCAATATTTATATAAATAATTTTTGTTTTTTCAGGGTATTATCGTTTTCTATGGATGCATATGGTAGGACACTCCAAATCAGTTCATGCTTGTGTTCAAGGCAAAAAACTACATTTATATCCAATTGCTGTTCTTTTTCATCGGCCTTTTATTGGCGAATGACTTTGTGTGGTCTACAAATACTCAAAAGAGGCTACAATGGTTAATGAGCCAAAAACTTTTGCGTGACAGAGACAATTTCTTTTGTTTTGTATGGTGGAAACTATGCGAGGAAAATGGTAAGTTGACGACAAAAAAAACATTTCTATCATTCGCTAATAATTTGAACAGAGGATTAGATAGTCTCTTCGGAAATTATTACCCGGATGCTAAAGTGTCATCGTTTAATTAAATTAGTATAAATGTAAAAGGTTTTTGGTGTCCTTTTCCTTCCGAGTTAAATTATTTGTTTGTTTACTGATGTTGGTATCATTACAGTTTACCATCAACGTTATATTTTTTGTACGTTCTTTTTAAACTTATTTTGTTTGTTTTCTTTTTTGAACTTTCGCTAAAATTGATTGAAAAAAGATGCTACGTTAATTATTAATGATTTAAAATGGACAAGATAAAATGATGATATTCTGTGAAATATGCAAGTTTAAGTAGGTAAATTATTTTTTTTAACTTATAGTAATGAAACTATCTCATTGCTTATAATTGATTTAAGGTATAACATGTAAATATTTTTAAGGAAAAAAAATCATTTCAGAGCAAAGATTAAACATGAGAATTGTATGTTAAGAGGTACTTAAATGAATTCAAATAACGTATGACTATTTCCACGCAAAACTTTTTCTCTATGTTTTTTTCATCAGTTATAATTTAAATAAATTTTTCGCAATGAACGTAACATTATTCATACTTTTGCTATTAGGTATGGTGAATAACATACTATTTTATGATGCTCCGAAATTGCCATGCTGCTATTGGGCAAATTTAAAACGTAAAAAAATTCAACTGGCTAAATTTTCCAACCATAATAATCACTATAACTAAATCACATTTGAATCACAAATATACTATTGTAAAAATCATATAATTTACAAATCACATTTGAATCATGGATCTAATAAATTAAGGCAAAAATGTTTACTCAAAAGAGTGTTCAAAGTTTAATGTTTATGCTGAACTTCATAAAAAAGTGAGGAGGGAGGTGGGCTCGTAAATAGATTTTATCTTAATAAGGATTTTTATAATCCTTATCAAATTGAAAAGAAAAAAAGTATGCACATTAGAGGTTAAAAATTAATATTTTGCACAGGGAAAAAACTCTGTGGAATATGACAAATCTCAATACAGAAAGGCGGGTAAATTAAACAAAACAGGTTTGATTGTCGAACAAAAAGAGCGGAAAGAAAGACGATTATTATAAAACCTTCAAGTTTCAACTTCCCATTAAACCTGTTTTGATGTTTATTCCATCAGTCTTCCTCTTTCGCATATGCCAGATTTCGACAACGTTCTTGTTTTTCCCTCCCTTAAATATTAGCTTGCGTCCTTCAGTGTGTATGAATTTTTATTCTAATTTTTGATAAGGATTCTAAAAACACATATTAAGTGTGGTCTTTACAAAATAATATCCTGGGAAATACACAGTCCAGTCACATTAATGTGACCACTTGTCAAAAGCCAGAAGAACCACCTTTGGCAGAGCGGACCGCTGTGAGACGTGCAGGAAGAGAGTCAATTAGGTTTACTCTTGGTAGCCCCTTGGTTCATCTGGCGGTCAGTTGCTCAACAGCTGTACGTCTATTCACCCGAATGCAGCTCCGTAGCATTTGTTCGCCTCTGTCATCTATAGCCCGTGGTGCACCACATGCTCCACGCCGCTGATTCTGGATAGTGCTATTTTGCCACGCACGGTATACATTTAAAATGGCGGCACGCGAACAGTTCACAAAATTAGCCGCTTCCAAAATGCTTCCACCCTTGGCCCGAAAGCCAGTAATCATGCCCTTTTGGACGTCGGATAAATCGCTACGTTTCTGCATTACGCCAACGATTGAAATGCCTTCCGATGCCCTAGGGTATCTTTTATATACACTCCACTGTAATGTGCTGCCACCTGCCTTCTGTGATTGGTTATTTCACGTTGATGTCGAAAGTAGGTGGTGGTCACATTAATGTGACTGGACTGTGTATTTTAGTACTATAAACTTTCAACAGAACATGAAACAAAAATGATTTTTTACTTGAGAGTTGGCGAGCAAAGTTACCAGGGGACAGAGACTTATAGTATTTGTTCAAAACGTTAAATTAAAAGTAGAAATAGCATTTTATCTAAATTTTATTTCCACTTTTAATTTAACGTTTTTTTAGCATTTAAACAGCATTGTTACAAAAAATGGCTTTGAAAGCAGCAACGTACAACATACATTCAATTACTTATAAGCATTGCCTATATTGTTACATTTGCAGTCATCTATATTTTTGTAACTGCAATATATAACTGAAATAGTAAAATTTTTTATTTAATAATAAAACTTACTCTATGGTTTCAGAAACTATATAAATTTGTTCTTATTTTCAGGTAATAATGATAACGAAGATTTATCGAATAATAATAAAATTCTATGGGAAAGTTGGTTGCAAATTTTTAAACCAAAGAGGATTCTGGATTATAACACGCTATCGGAAACAACAGCTAAAAATGGAAGAATCACATCGCCATACTTTCTCAGTGCCAATGATGGCTGGATGTATAAACAAAAATATGTATCAAAAAACAAATTTTCTAAAAGAACTATTTTACATAATAGGGTTCGAGATAGGAGGCAAACAAACAAAACTTTTAAAAACTTGCAGAGTGGTAAATTTTCCAACAAATGTCTGAACGAGAAATATAAAATAATAGCTAGGGAATGCTTTGAAAAGATTTCAACTTTACCATCAATCTTATCAAATGGAATTGATAACATTGAATCATCTGGAGAAAAGAAAACGATACTGAAATGTATAAGAAATTATATGTGTAATAAGAAAGTGACAAACTTTGCATACAATTGTCTTAAAACTATTTTTGATAGAAAAACTTTAAATTACTCACAACTAATAGAACAAAATGACGAGCTTAAAATTCCATCTTTTATTTTCAATTTGAGTAGCTTTGAGAATGCAATTTTAAAATTAAGATTTAATCCAAATCCTGTATTCCATCCATTTTCTTTCCATAAATATTTTGCAAATAATTTACTTTCACACAAAACTGTTCCTAAATTTCGTGGACGACGTCTTCTCGGATTTCCTTCAAATGATTTTCTAGACACATATGGAAATAATCAATTCAGCACACAAGATGGTATGGCATCCTTTCGAAATGATATTTTCAATAAATGGATTCAAAATAATAAAAACGCTAGTATTACCAATGAAACTAACTTTAATTTTCAATCACATTTAGAATCGAAGAAATACGAGGTTGATACAAATGCTCCAGTCTTGTCTCACACAGATGCAGATATAACATCTTTTTTGAAACCAAGTATTACTTTAAGCAAATCTCAATTTTTTCAAATGTACAAACCTGAGAATTTAGATGCATCAAACAGCGGCAGCAGATATTTACAAAAAAGTGTTGGCTATACGAGCGAATTGTTTCTGCATTTTAACGATTTCACAGCAAATTTTAAAGATAAAATTAAACCTACTCCAGTTCAAAGAATATATCAAAAGAGCAATAACTATTCATTTCGTAATAGCAAAAAATTATTTCAATACAGTAATAGTATCAAACACGCCTTAAATCTTAAAGATGAGATTTCTGTTATTCAGAGCTTGGATAAATTTCCTTCATTGAGTCATTTAACCAGTGACATAACACAGATGACTCAATTACCCTATGATAATGACTCTTTCGAAACCACTTCCTTAAAAACAGCATCTCATCAGATTGTTCAAAGTTCCATTGCATTGCTGATTGGCTCACAAAATTCACAAAATGAAGCTAAAATTGCACCCGATAATTTTGACTACTCAATGCAATCTGGTGATCGGCTGGTTTCCGTGATTAATTTAACCAGTGGCGTAAGCCAGATGACTCAGTTAACGAATGATAATGATTCTTTCGAAACCACTGCCTTAAAAACAGCATCTCATCAGATTGTTCAAAGTTCCATTGCATCACTGATTGACTCACAAAATGAAGCTAAAATTGTATCTGATACTTTTGACTACTCAATGCAATCTGATGATTGGCTGGTTTCCGAGATTAATTTAACCAGTGGCGTAAACCAGATGACTCAGTTAACGAATGAGAATGATTCTTTCGTAACCACTTCCTTAAAAACAGCATCTCATCAGATTGTTCAAAGTTCCATTGCATCACTGATTGGCTCACAAAATTCCCAAAATGAAGCTAAAATTGCATCTGATACTTTTGATTACTCAATGCAATCTGGTGATTGGCTGGTTTCCGAGATTAATTTAACTAGTGGCGTAAACCAGATGACTCAGTTAACGAATGATAATGATTCTTTCGAAACCACTTCCTTAAAAACAGCATCTCATCAGATTGTTCAAAGTTCCATTGCATCACTGATTGGCTCACAAAATGCGGTTAAAATAGAATCTGGTATTTTTGACTACTCAGTGCTATCTGGTGACCGACAGGTATCCATGATTAATTTAACCAGTGAAATGAACCATATGATTCAATTAACCAATGACATTGACTCTTCTCAAACCACTTTTGTAGAAACAGCATCTCATCAGTTTGTTCAACGTTCCATTACATCACATATTGGTTTACAACATTCACAAAATGAAGCTAAAATTGCATCGTATAATTTTGACTACTCAATGCAATCTGGTGACCGTCTGGTTTCCGTGATTAATTTAATCAGTGGCGTAAATCAGATGACTCAGTTAATGAATGATAATGACTCTTTTGAAACTACTTCTGTACAAACAACATCTCATTACAATATCGCTCAACATTTAATTCCTACTGTATCACAGACTGATTTACAACATTCACATAATGTTGCCGAAATTGAATCTGATATTTTTGACAAAGATTACAAGTCAACTATTCAACCTTATCAGACAATGAAGCACAAATGGAAATCACATTTGATAAGTTCTTCAATACCTTTAGTCTACAAAGACTTATCCATATCGCATAGGAACTACAGTGAAAAACTTAATAGCACTCCAACTGTAAAACTCAATAGCTTTACTTCCTCAACATTGAAATCTAGTTTTACTTTAAAAGTGAATTTAACCCAGTCTAGTGATTTAAAATATCGGGTAATTCTGACTACTGCACACTCGCTTGTAGTACCTGGTACAGTTTTGTATGAATCGAGGAAAGACAAAATACATGAAATATATTCTGAACCATACTCTGTTCCTGACGAAAATTATTATTTTGCAACATCGTTTGATATTGTAGGTTCTGTTGAAACCTACCGAGCAAATGACGAGACAAATGACTCACGTTTAAAAACAATGAATTCTGTTTTGTTGCATGAAACTAGATCGACACAAACTGATTGGTTATTGAATAAAAAGACAACTGATTTTAATTTAAACTCTGTTATTAATGCAGTGGGTCAAGGAAAAGGAATTTTAAAACTGTCAAAAACTCTTACACAAAATACGTTTTCGAGTGAAGAAAACCACCATTCAAACATAGTGAACCTCTCTGAATATATTTCTGGAAACGAAAATCAGAATCAGAGTGTCAAACTTTATTCTGATAAGTATCCTGATATGAACTTTTCAAGAGTCAGAAATGATTTCAATGGAACAAACCAAGATAATTTCAATTTAAATGAACATAATTCCAACTCAACAAACGGGTTCCTAATTAGTACTGGATCAGTGTCTTCTGATAAATTTATGTCTTCTGAAACTGATTTTCTCAAAGTATTAAGTATTTTTAAAAATAACCATACAGAGTCAGTAAAGGGAAATTTACCACACGGAAGCAAGTTCAACGAAGAAAGAATATCCCCAGTTCCTATCTCTCAAATTGATCCAATGTCAACTGCAGTTTATATAACTCGGACTGAATCAGCGTTAGATGTATTTTCAACTGATGCATTGAAAGTTAATTTTGATGAAAATAATAATCTGATATTGAGTGAAAATCCAAGTTCAAATATCGACGTGTACCTTAAAAGTAGTTTGAATTTCAAACAAAACAATGGTGTGGAAAATAACTTTTATGCAACGGAAGGGTTAAACCAAATGCTTCGAACTTTTACTACTGTTCCAACAGAATTAAATACACAAATTTTTCCAACTCAGCATCTTGAGCTCTCCAGAAGTCCATATGCAGTCTACCAAGGAAAAACAATGGGTGCTTTTTTGAAAGAAACGAAAAGTTTGAGCAAACTAAAGAAAATGGAGATAACCGAAAATGTTGAAGAAAGTACTAGTTTTCAGGACATACAACAGGTCTCACTCCAAACTCAACTGACTGAAATAAATCACGACAACAAAAGACATAAGCCGAGTAGCACGTATGTGAAGGAAATATTAAAGCAAATAAGTAGAAGCAACCATGTTACAAATGTACTTAAAAGCATTGAGGCATCTGGAGGCATTGATTTTGGAATGGATACTGGCATGAAAATAAAAAGTAGCACCAATAAGGATATCATTCTCAATTTAAGTACTTTCGATAATTATGAAAAACTCAGCAACGATCCTAATACAGAACATTTTTCCAGTGTTTATGTAACAACTACTGAAGAAGTTCAGAAAAATTCTCTGAAAACTCAAGATGAAAAAAGAACTTCGACTCCATATAACAATAATGTAGCTTTTACAGAATATAACTTAGCTCTAAAAACGAATTCTGCAGCCGAAGGAAATATTGTAAGAAGTCGAAATGATGTAGACGACAAAGTGATAGGAAATATTAACTCAAATAATAAAGCAAATAATAATTTAGATAATTCAGCGAAAAGCTTATTTCAAAAAAAGAACGAAAGTTTAGAATCGAAATTGATCTCTGACGAAAACAACTATGTAATAAAAAGAAACGATGATTCTGATAGTACCACAGAATTAGAATTGTTGGAAATTACTGAAAAAGAGAATGAGAATACGAGTCTTAGCAAGAATGGAATATTTTTGACTCCGGATTCCGAAGAAAATGCTCTCATACGAACAGAAAGAGAAATTCTATCCCCCGAAGAAGAATTTTTCATGAAATCTAGTTCTGGAAAGGAGAAAATTGAAAACGCTAGAACACCTCTTCAAAACTCGCAAGAAGATTTGAAAAATTTAACTAAAGCTTCTACTAACACGAAATTACCATCTATTAATATTGAAAATATTAACGACACTAATTCATATTTTAATGCTACTGATAATTCGGAAAGTACAGGTATTACACATCCTCCATTTGAAGAGAATTTTGATTCAAAAAATAAAACTTTATTGTCAATAAAAGAAAATTCCAAATCTAGTAATGATGAAGACTTAAATGAAAAATTTCCATTCTTTGATATTTCAATAAACGATGATCGTGACAGAGATTTAGAAAAGTATTTAACTTCAAATCTAAATGTTTCTGTAATTTTACAGCCTGGCAGTCTAACGAAACAGATTGATGGAGAATGGAAAAATATGAGCTATAAAGAAGGTAAATCGAATGTCCTCCCATCAGAAACAACTGTACAAGTCAAGAATTTATCAAGAATACCTGTGTCATCAACAGATATACTTATAGAGGCTGAAAAAGGAACGCAGTCTTCAAGTGAAGAAAATTTAACAGACTTCTTTTCTGACATTTACAAACAAGTTACCAAGTCAAAAAATTCAAATGTTCAAATCAAACCAAAAAACTTTACTATCACGAAACTGAATCGAGCTGAATTTGATTCAAACATACCCTCATCTACTTATATTTCTAACAACAGTAACGTAGATCCAAATTTTGACCAAATTAATGAAATTGGAACAAATCCAAATATTGCAAGTAAATTTGAGAAAAATAATTCAGATGTGAATTCACACAATAATGGGGGTTATCATAGCAAAGCTGTTTCTTTTACAACAGTAGACTTTGCCGAACAATACAATTCATTTGAAAAAGAAACTGAAGCCATTACTTATGGAAGTATGTATGAATCATTAACTAATAGTGACTTTGAAATAAAACAAAACAAAATATTTCATGATGCAAATTCTGAAACAGAATCATCAGAGAAGTTGTCCTTAGATATCGATGATAATATTGCGACTCCTGAATTGATCAAGCCCACTCAAATTCCATCATTTTTTCAGCCATCAGGTTTTGAACTTACTGATAAGTCTTCTTTAAAATCAGTTCTAATTAATGAAAATAATTCAGTCTTAAAATTCGTAAATACCAAGTTTCTTACTACAACCGAGTTGGCAACAACCGAAGTTTCTGATTCGTTTGGACAAGGAGCTAATGACTTTTCTGGCTTAGATGAGATATTAAACGACAATGATTTTAAAATTAAACCTATTAGAACATCCCATTATGAAAGTTATAATACGAAGTCATTAGTAAATACATTATTTGATGGCAATGATGATATTGTTAACCTTGGATTGGTTGAGCCCATCCTATTTTTAACATCTACCCAGAGATTAAGTTCTAGTTTTGTTGATAAATTCCTTCCAACTCCAATTGAGGGAACGAAGACAAATGACAAAGAAAGTTTTGGCATAAAATCATTATTCACCAAATTAATCACTCCATCTCAAAGAACTGTTGACACTAGTGATGCATCAGCAAATTTAATTCCAATCACTGATTTACTTATACGTAATGAAAGAGAAACGGAATCATCAAATGAAGAAGTATTAACTGAAAACTTTTTTAATTTCGATGGTAGGCCTGTTAATAAAATAGCTAGTTCGAGAGATTTGGATAAGCAGCTAGAAAGCGAAAATAACCTTGTTAATAATGATTTATCGAAATTCAGTCAAACTTTGCTTCTTTCAAGCTTGCTTTTTCCTTCTTCAAAAAATCTGAATTCCAACATAAGTTTGGGAAATAAAATAAACCTTAGTGATATCGAGATCAAAGCAAATGCTTCTACAAAGCTGGGAAGTGAGGGTTTGGAGATAAATTTTACTATTAATGGGAACATTCATATTGATGGTAATAAGCAAACACTGCTTACAACACCAAAGAGCTCTTCAAAATCTGATAATGCACAAGGAAGTGTAAATGAGATAATCACTAATACAAATGCAGATAAAAATACACCGAGTAATGATTTTTCACCTGGAAGGAACGAAATTGATGAAACGAAGTATAAAAAAGAATTATCGGAGAACCCGTTAATGGATGTTGATGATGAAAATTTAATTCCTGATGACTTTCGTACTGGTCAAAATGATAAAACCTCGTATACGACGTCAATAAGCTTCATTGAACATGATTTTACACTGGGAAGGAGAGACGAGATTTCCACTGAAGAAATTACAAATTATAAAATACCCGAAAAAAACGCCACATCTGGAGAGAACAAGAATGAACGCAATGAAGTGCATCATGAGGGATCACACGGTAATCAGGCAAAGATAGAAGTTGACAATGAAAGTTTAGATACTGAGTTGGTTAACTTCGATGATGCTATTAATGAGAAAGATCCAATGTTGTTGACTACTCCAAAGAGTTATATTGAATCTGATGATACACTGGAAAGAGGAGACACGGTTGACACTGATGAAATAGTGAAGGATGTATTATCTGATAATGACTTCCCTCTTGAAAAGTACAACAGTACACGTGAGGAAAAGAATAAAAGAGAATCTCAAATAAACCCAATAATAAATCTAAATGATAAGAGTTTAAGCATTGAATCGGTTAAGTCTGATGACATCAATATTGATCAGAATAATCAAATCTTGTCAACAACATCAAGCAGTTTCATTGTATCTGATGATGCTTTGAAAAATAGAGATATGAACACCGCTGGAAAAATATTAAATGAAGTAATTCCCAGCAATGATTTCTCTTCTAGAAGAGAAAAAACTGCACTTGATTCAAAGGAAGAAGTGACGTCATCAAAAAATCCATTATTTAACGTTGATAACCAAAGTATTAGTTTTTTATTTGTTAAACCCACGGCAGTTAATATTTTCCCTGAAAAAATAAGTTCCACAACTGTCAATTCATTGCTTCTATCGAAAGCTATAAAGAAAGTTAAAAACATTGATGAAACTTATACCTTGGTACCGGTATTTACTAAACACTTAATTACATCTCAGACAACCACAGAAATTGATGACTTATCAAGAAATTTGATTTCATCTGATGATGCAACAAAAAATTCGATTGCATTTGAGGGTGGATCAAGAAATTCTATTTTAACTGATGATGTGCTTATACGTGCAGAAAGAGAAACACAATCATCGAACGAAGAAATTTTAACTGAGCCGATTTCAAATGTCGATGACATATTTGATGTGCCCGATTTAGGAAATCCAGAAGTTCAACCCAAGGAGGAAAATTTATTGACTACAAATAGCATTTCAAAAATCCCTCTACCTGACTCCGGTTTAAACTTACCTCTTCCTGTAAATACCTCTAATGTTAGTAGTTTTGGTCATGAATTTAATATTAATGGAATGGGAATTAGTGTAAATGCATCTACTAAAATGGGCAGTGGTAATTTAGATGTGAATTTCAATATCGATGATGTTTCTAATAAAGATGACATCCCTGAAAAGTATGTTACTACGCCGAAGCTTTCTGTTGAAATTGATAGCATTTTGGGAGATGGAGGAGTTTTTACCACTGATAAAAATAAGGTGGAAACATTGCCAGACAGTAACATTCAATCAAAAGGGAATAAACTCCCTCGTGATTTGAAAGATGAACAGGATTCATTAGAAATTACAACAGGGAATAAAGGAGAGGAAATTTTAAATCCTAATTTAATCCAGCCCACACCAGTTTTCAACTTCGACATAAGTTCCGTAGACCTTAGCCAATTTTTTCCGCATTTGCCAATAAAAACAAGCACGATTAACTTAGAAACCTCTCCAAGGAAATCAGTATATACCGAAAGTGTTGAAGATGAAGAAGTTTATTCTGATAGCACACCTGAAGTTATCAGTAAAGATATAACAAATGAAAATAAAATTTCAACTCAGAAAGACATTGTAACTTTTAGTGAGCCATCTTCTCTTTCTGATGATGTTGACAGAGATGATGTTGATGATAGTATTAGAACGTCTACTACATCCACAAGTACAGTTGTAAGTACAGAGAGCAGTATTATACCTTTTCATTTCACAATTGATGCGGATTATAAAGAGGTGGTTGGTACAAGGAAAAAAGACTTCGAAGAAAGTCTGACAAAACAGCTTGGTGTCGCCATGAGAGTCCCAATTGAGTGTGTTCAAAATCTAACAGTGACTAAAGGTAAACTATTAAATTTTTCTAAAGACATAGTATTTTGATGGAAAAAACAATAATTACCTATAATTTAACAGCTATACGATATTAATATAATTAGTTATTTAAATTATTTAAAATTCTAAATCTCAGACGTTCGTGAAATATACGTTAGGTGTACCATATGAAATTTTATGCATATATATCTGATAGAACCATATACTAGAATCAAGCAAATCAAACTTTTTATTTTAATTATGTATCAAATTTTAGGAAGAAGTTTAAGATATTTAAATTACATTTACTATTAAGAAAACCTGATACTTATTACTAGAAATGTTACATATAAAATGTTACATATAAAATGTTGTTAATTAAATTTAGTATTCAAGCTCTCAAATTACAATTTGTTCAGTTCAAATACCTTTATTAACTTCGTAAACATATGTAGTGAATTTCATTCATACATGCATACTTTCATTGTAATAATGAATATTTGTAAAGAAAAATATGATAAAATATATGTTTTTTTCAAACTTTCTATTTTAAACTGAATTTATGAACTTATATAATATGAGGGAAAATTAAAATTGAAATAAAAAATTTTTTAATAACAGTTGTGTGTATCAGTGCATATACAGTTAAATTTGTTTACATTAATTGTTGCAAGGTTGCACATTAATTGTTAATATTTAGTTGGTAAAATACACAATAGAACTTGACGAATGGTAGAGTTAAAAACACCAAAATTTTTTGACTAAGTGAATAAGTAAATAAGCAATTATTATAAACACTTTTAAGTTTAATTCATTGATCAGATAAGTTTTGATAAGGTTAAATACCTTTTTTTCAATAATAATTTGTCCAAATTTGATAACGTTGTCTTTCTTTTCGTAGCTAAAATACAAAATTTTGACCTTTGATGTATATACATTTTTAAATTCACTTTTGAAAAGGATTCTTAAAATAAACGTGAAAGTTGATGATTGTAAAACATTTGTTATTGTAGAACATCTTCTTTGATTAAAAAGTATCTAATGGTTTTAAGAAGATTTTTTTTTAAAATTTATTTTTTAATAAAATTTTTAAAAAAAATTTGAAATTGTTCTTAAAAAAAAGAACGCAGTGTTGATTTTCTTAGTTTAAATAAAAAAATTTTTTGAATGAACAGGTTAGGTAACATTTTCAAAACGTTTTTATTTTAGGTCTTAAACAGTAAAGCATATAATATTATTTAATTCTGTCGCAAAGCATTAAAAAGCCGTACATTTAAAATTCGATTTCTCAGGAACTATTCAACCGAAATCGCTCAAATTTTGTATTTTGTCATGTAAAATTACATTCTTTAAAGTATAAAAAAATATATACCTTACATTTGAAGATTTTTTTCGACAATTACTAAATAAAATAATAAAAAATAATAAGTATCTACTGAAAGTTATTTTTTGCGTGGAAATATCTTTAGATAAGCGAATTTTATGATTGGGAAAAAATTTCAATTTGCTTAAAAAGTTTTCGTAATATGACGAAATACGCAAAAAGTAAAATTAGCAATAATAGGACCAAACTTTAGATCATTCTTCTGGCCTATTTAGAGGATCTAAAATCAGAATCTGTCAAAAAAGAAGAAAAAAATATATGTAATCATTCAGAGAAAGTACGTTTTTGTATCTGATTTCATAACTTAAATAGTCGTCTGTATTAATTAATTAGTATATTTGAGGTTATCCCTTCGAATCATTAACATTGAGTTTTAGAACGTTAAGATCATTAGATCAAAAGTTATTCAGGGTGGTCTTTTTTTCCACATTATATATGAGAATTTCTTCCTTGAAATACGTAAAATTATACTTGGAAATAGCTTTATTATACATTCAAAGGTTTTTGTAATGTGTAGAAATATGCATGGAAATAGCTTTATTATACATTCAAAATTTATTGAGGCATTTAGAAGTATACGCATGGAATTTTTCTATTTATATTTTCAAGACTCTTTGTATAGAAACATAGAACAAAGTAGCTTTTCCCTTCATTCAAACTTCGTTGAAATGTATTGAAATAGCTTTTCTATGCAATTCGAATTCCCAGGAATGCATAAAAATATACTTTCCAATGAAGATTATATATCATACAACATATTATTCCATGAAACTTATAATTCGTTTGAGAAAAATAATTTATTTTCTCTAGGTAGTATTCAAGTGGACTTTAATCTTGTTCCCAGTCCCGATCACGGACATATGAGTGATGAAAAAGCTATGAAAGCTGCAGCAGATGAACTGAAACGTATGATAGATAATGGACTATTAAACATCAATGATTTAGATGGAAATACTTTAGTCGTAGTACCATTGGATCCTCCTACGATGTCAACACCAGGTACAGTTTTTTCTCATCTCTTCTAAGAATTCATTCTTTAAACAAAAACTGTAAGTCTTATCCTCTCAAGAGGCTGCCACATTTTTTTGAAAAATTAATTGCCGATATGTAACTATCATTTAAATTTTTTTTTTTAAATGTTTTGTTATTGAGAGCATTATAAACAAAATTTCAGAGAGATTTCAGAAAACAAGTTTTTTATTTTGTTTTGTTGAACTTTGTGTATTGTGATATATATAATACAAAATGTCTATTTCTTAGAGAAAAAAAACATAAGACTGATGTGCGAATTTATTAATAAATCTATAATTAATTTACATTAACTTTTAAAAAAATCTTCAGAAATAAAAAAAATTGAAAAATTGTGTGATTTCTTATTTTAATTTGCCAATATGTTTGCGTACTTATTTTTGAAAAATTAATTTTTTTTAAAAAATAAAAACTATTTCATTTTATTTTTATTTGTTAGTATACATTTCGTTACCTTCAAGTGGATATTAAAAAACCGTTTTTTAAAATTATGTTAAAAGTATAACCATGGGAGAGCTGGAGCCACAACCTAATATTTAAAAAACATACTATCCAAATCAGGAAACTCAATAACGAAGATGGTGGGTTGGAAATCATCAAAACCTATTTTACTTCCCAAGGAAATAAATAGGTTTTGACTGAAAATAAAGATGACCATTAGGCAAATACCAAACTTACTACTACAGAATGACTAGAACTAAGTTCTAGTCGGCAATTATTTTACTGAAAAAATGCTTTGATATAATTAGATAATGTTTCTGTTTTTCTACTGTTTTCCCTCGCTCAATTTGTTATCCCAAATTATGCGTGATTGGTTTTATTTTTACTTTATTTTTGGGTGAAATTTTAGAAATCTATATTAAGGGAAATGATTACGGAATCTATAGAATATAGTATTACTTAATCATTATGTTGCATGTAATATTTGAAGTCTTTCTGTATTTTAAATTTGCTTTCTAAAATATGAATTTATTAAGTTTTCCTGATTCTCAAAAAGAACAAAAAGAAAATATGAAACCATTTTAATGATCTTAAATAGATTATCAGCTTGAAATATTATTATTTAAAAGCATATTGTTGAGATTTTTTTTTTAAATGGTTGTTATGGATTGTTCATCTATATGCTAGTAATGAAACATAAATAATGTATTCTAAATTTAAATCCACCGTCTCCTTAATCTAATTTTGTTTAAATCCACCGTCTCCATAATTTCGAATTTTGCTTTCTCCTAGAACTTGAATTTATTTGACTTTTCTGATTCTCTAAAAAAACAAAAAATATTAAACCATTTTAATAATATTAAGTCGATTATCATCTTAAGATATTACTATTGAGAAGTATATTGTGAATAATTTTTAAAGAAAGGATATTCTGGATTGTGTGTGTGTATCTGCAAGCAAATAATGAAATATAAATGATATATTCTGAATTTAAATCCATCGTCTCTTTAAAACCTAATTTTATTTAAATCCACCATATCATTAAATTCTAATTTTGATTTCACCTAAAACCTGAATCTACAAAACTTTTCCGATTTTCAAAAAGAACAAAAATCTGAAACAATGTTAAGGATTTTAAGTTGATCATCAGCTTAAAATTTTTCTGTTGAGAAGTAAATTGATGAGAATTTATTTTTTAAAGAAAGAATATTCTCGATTGGGGATCTGCTGGCAAATAATGAAATATAAATAACTTATTCTGAATTTAAATCCACCGTCTCCTTAAAAACTAATTTTGTTTTCTCCTAAAATCTGATTTAGGCTCTTAAGATTTTGGAAAAAAAAATATTTCATAATATTGTGTTGTTATCAAATCAAAGATTACTGTTGAGAAGTATATTATTGACAAATTTTTTCAAAAGAAAGGGGGTGTTGCGGATTTAAAGGTAAATAATACGTAAAATGATAGATAATATATCCTGAACTTAAAATCACCGTATTCTGAATAAAGAGTAAAGGACAAAACGAATGATAATATATTCTGAATGGTGTAATAACGTTTGAAAATTTTTTTTGATTATTTATCTTTAATTTTTAAGTTAATATGATATTATAACTATTTCTGTTATTTTATAGCTAGTGAAATGGAGCATACAACATTGATTTTAGGAGTTATAATTGGAGCTTTTATTTTAACTGTTATTGCAGTGGTTATTTCAGCAATTGTCATAAAAAGAAAGTCCAACGGGATTTCAAGATTAAGTCCCATAGAAGAGGTTTGTATATTAGTAGTTCGTAAAATAAAATTGTGTTTAAAAAATTGAAACTCACAATTTTTAATTTTTATTTTGTATATCTCATATTAAGTTTATATTTATACTCTCCAAACTTTCTGAATATTCTTTTTTTTTTCAATTTATACTTTCTAAACTTAACTTTACTGTCACAAATCGTTGAAACAATAATTATGATAATATAATGTGTGTTTTAAAAATGACTGACAATTAGAACGAAATAAATTTTTAAAAAATGGAATAAGATAAAAATGTACATTTTACTACCTTTTTCTTAGGAAATTATGACCTTATTCTTTCCGAATTTTAAGATTAGTTTCCAAGTTCGTTAACAGATGGTGCAACTTAAAAAAAAGCTATAAAACACAGTGCAAAAGTAAGCTTTGTACTGATTTAAAGGCCCCTGTGCAAATATTTCAATATGATCTAGAATGAAGTTGTACCATCTTTTCACAAACTCTGCAACTAATTTCAAAAATGGTCAGAATCAATAATTTCCTTTCCTTAGCAGAACGTAAAAAACTGTACATTTCTATGTCTTACAGAATTGTTGGTCATTTTTGTGATGCCAGGTAGCATAATTTTGTTATTGGCGCTTTGCAAATATGCTATTAAGATTTTTCCTCATATAACAGTTTAATCCAACAAAATGAAGAAGTTTTATTTTTGTATTATTATACTTGATACATTGAAACATGAGTGATAAATTTATATTAAATTCATATAATTTATATAAAATTCAAAAATTGCCGAGAACCTGATTAGATTTATATTGGATTCGTAGGGTAGATGCTTTGAGAGATAGACAGGAAATCAATAAATTATTTATTGCCTACAATATTTTTACGTTACGAAGTCAAACATAAAAATGAACTTTCTGTGAGTAAAACTTTTTTGCCGACTGATTCTTATTTTAAATTCTAGAAATCAGACAGCAACCAGAAAAATATAGTCCAATTGTTAAAAAAAGAGTTTTCAAGAGTTGGAAATTATATAAAAAATAATAATAATAATAATAATAATAATGTTTGCCTAGAATTAATTTGGAAAAAACCAGTTTAATAATAGTATGCAAAAATCTTTTGAGCATATCATAATTTCTTAAATAGATTGAGATATTTCAAATTACTCAAATTTAAGGTTACTCAAAATCTCATCTGTATTAATATCTGCATTAATTAATTAGTACATTTAAATTCTACCTCTTGACCATTGAGAATGCCTATTAATATTTGAAAATCCAATCGAAAGTTTAGTTTGCCTGATTATTTATATTAATATATTAAAATGTAGATTTTTAATACAGTTTCTGCTTGCTTCAAGCTTATATATTGGGTGTACAAATTAATTCGATCCGTTTTTTGTGTGGTCAAAAATGTATTTATTTTTGACCAAAATGAATGAACAGATTAATCAAAGTATTGTCCATCGCTGGCTACTACTTTCTCCCACCTCTCAGGCAATTTTCGAATTCCATCTCGAAAAAATGTCTCGTCCTTTGAGGCGATCCAAGTTAGGTGCCAATTTTCGATTTCTGCGAAAGAAGTGAACCGGTGACCTGCCAAATCGTGCTGCATCCGTCGGAACGACCAGTAATCAGAAGGAGCAATGTCCGGTGAATACGGCGGGTGTGGAAAAATATCCCACTTTGGATTTTCCAAATAATTTTTACGACTTTTGCGACATGAGGCCAACCGTCATCATGCAGAAGAATAATTGTGTCATGTCTTTGCTCGTATTCCGGCCGTTTTTCTCGTAATGCACGGCTCAAACGAATCAATTGTAGCCTATACCGACCGCCCGTAATGGAATCGCCAGGTTATAGCAGCTCATAGTATACAACACCGTTCACCATTCTTCTTTCACCATTCACCATTCTTGAAACGTCGAAACCATTCCCAACATGATTTATCAGTTGGAGCATTGTCGCTATAAACTTCTACAAGCATTCGATGCGCTTAAGCTTCACTTTTCTGGCAATTAAAGCAGAAACATAAAACCTCCCGCAAATGCTGCTTAGTTACCACAACATTTAACATATTCAACAAAGTAAAAAACATGGTTTTCGTATGAAACATAAAGCGATATAAACTGAATATTATTGACACATGTCTAATCTCTCTGAAACCACCGAAACCAGCTGTCACTATGAAACATTCATGGCAGCCAAAGCCATCCAAGCTAAAACGGACCAAGCTAATTTGTATTCCCATATATATATATGCAGCTACAGAACTTACTATTACAGAACGACTAGTTATACCTTTTCATTTCACAATTGATGCGGATTATAAAGAGGTGGTTGGTACAAGGAAAAAAGACTTCGAAGAAAGTCTGACAAAACAGCTTGGTGTCGCCATGAGAGTCCCAATTGAGTGTGTTCAAAATCTAACAGTGACTAAAGGTAAACTATTAAATTTTTCTAAAGACATAGTATTTTGATGGAAAAAACAATAATTACCTATAATTTAACAGCTATACGATATTAATATAATTAGTTATTTAAATTATTTAAAATTCTAAATCTCAGACGTTCGTGAAATATACGTTAGGTGTACCATATGAAATTTTATGCATATATATCTGATAGAACCATATACTAGAATCAAGCAAATCAAACTTTTTATTTTAATTATGTATCAAATTTTAGGAAGAAGTTTAAGATATTTAAATTACATTTACTATTAAGAAAACCTGATACTTATTACTAGAAATGTTACATATAAAATGTTACATATAAAATGTTGTTAATTAAATTTAGTATTCAAGCTCTCAAATTACAATTTGTTCAGTTCAAATACCTTTATTAACTTCGTAAACATATGTAGTGAATTTCATTCATACATGCATACTTTCATTGTAATAATGAATAATTGTAAAGAAGAATATGATAAAATATATGTTTTTTCAAACTTTCTATTTTAAACTGAATTTATGAACTTATATAATATGAGGGAAAATTAAAATTTAAATAAAAAATTTTTTAATAACAATTGTGTGTATCAGTGCATATACAGTTAAATTTGTTTACATTAATTGTTGCAAGGTTGCACATTAATTGTTAATATTTAGTTGGTAAAATACACTATAGAACTTGACGAATGGTAGAGTTAAAAACACCAAAATTGTTTGATTAAGTGAATAAGTAAATAAGCAATTATTATAAACACTTTTAAGTTTAATTCATTGATCAGATAAGTTTTGATAAGGTTAAATACCTTTTTTTCAATAATAATTTGTCCAAATTTGATAACGTTGTCTTTCTTTTCCTAGCTAAAATACAAAATTTTGACCTTTGATGTATATACATTTTTAAATTCACTTTTGAAAAAGATTCTTAACGTTCTTAATTCTTAAAAAGATTCTTAAGTATACGCATGGAATTTTCTTATTTATATTTTCAAGACTCTTTGTATAGAAACATAGAACAAAATAGCTTTTCCATTCATTCAAACTTCGTTGAAATGTATTGAATTAGNAGTTTCAATAAAAACGAAAAATTTCTAAAATAGCATACACATCATTAATTATGAAAACCTAATTTTTATGCTTACATTGTGATAGATAGAACTACAATATTTGTTTGAAAAATTACGTCCATGCTGGGGAAGAGTTAAAATCTAATGTATATTTCTTTTCTTTTTTTACATATTAAGTTATGAAGTATGACGTCATCAAATATAAATTAATAAACAATGCTTTCCTTTCTAGCTTAAAATCATTGTTACGCTTATGCTTGTAGAAGAATCAAAAATCATCCTAGATTAGATCACTACTTCGATTGTTGTAAAACAAAATTAATTTCATATAAACGTTAAAATTCACTCACTAGAATGCTATGTTTCCACGAGACAATATTCTCATATTAATTTACATTTCAATATTCCTTTTAACAGCTTCCGTATTACTTAAATACGTCACTATACATGATGTCCCTATTCTTTATTTCTTAATTCTGATGATTGGCTTATCGTTGAACTCTGAGAGTTTGATTGAATACTTTTACGATAATTTTCTCTTCATGTAGGCAAGAAGTAAAATGCCGTCCTATCGAGATATTCCATTCCAAGAAGCTTTGTTTATGAAAAATACAGTACATAATAAGTTGATGTTGGGAAAATACAACTATGATACAGGTAAATGGGTTGGACCTGGACCAGAGCCGAAAGCCTTTCGAGCACCAGACTCGGTTGTTTATCGTCCTCCCACAGATTCCGAAATTCGTAGAACACCTCGACCTCCTACAGCAGTAGTAAGTACATGCTTTTAACATTAGATTTTGACGTAGTGGAGCGACGTTTTGAAAACATTCGAATTTATGGATTTAGATAGTTTCAATACCATCGGAAGGAAATTGTGGTTTTTGTCACAATTATCTCAGAAAATGCTGTCAAGATGTTTTTTTTCTATATTCCACAGATTTAGTGTTATGCGCTGTTGCTGCATTTCGTTGCCTGCATAACATATCCCTAACATTTAGGGTTATGGAAGAGTTAAGCGGGCTCCAAGATTTAAGCATTTTTTAAAGTTTCTTTTAAACAATTTTAGAACTAATATTAATTTTGGAATATTTAGATTCAATCAATAAACCATTATTTACTAAATGTTTTGGTTGCCTCTGCAATGTTGTTTAAAGTAAAATGACAATAAATAAGAAATAGCACAATTTTTCAAATAAAAATAGACATTCATTTACTAAATATTGCAATAGTTATTCCCATCGTGCTTTTCAAACAATAATAAAATAACTAGATTGTTAACGCGTTGATTGCCATGGGGGTCACCGGTGACCGGCACTGAGTTTGTTCGTAGTGCCACGGAGGTCACTGGTGACCGGCGAAGACAAAACTATTAAAAACACATAAATCGAGTACATTTTTAATGCTTTTGATTTTTGTAGTATTATCGTTAATAAAATGTTTTAAGTCAACGTGTTTATAAGGAATTATGCTTCTCCACTAGTCAATTTCAACGCTGATAGCAGTTCTTTTTATAATTTATTTCAACAAAAACTATAATTCGACTTATTTAATTGATTTTTAAGTTGTGTTTACACACCAAACTATAATTTGTCTGTAGAATCAAGAAATATCTATGAAATCAAGAAATAGCGCATTTCAAAGAAGTGATTTTCTCTCTTCTCTAATCCTCTCTCTTCCGCCGACGCATTCTTAAAGCCTGTCTTATATATTGACCCAACACCTCTACTTGAAATAATTAAAACTACTCTCCAAATAAATGACTCTAGATTCAGAGCCAGGACTGTGAATTCAACTGTCTGATATAAAACCTAATTTTAGATTATTAATGATAAAATGATGAAAAATCCCGTTTTCTTACATTTTCAAACTTAAGTAGACTTTTATTTTTGCAATCGCCTTTATGTACTTTAGTTATAAAGTCGGGGTTCAGGTGAATGAATGTAGGGTTCATATAGCAGAAAAAAATTGGGAACCACTGATTTATACTGTATAATTCCTCAAATTTCTATTATGTGTTTTATAGACAAGCCTAAAGTTTCAATCAGAAAATTAATAAAAGAAAAATTTAAAAAAGTCATTTAAATTACGTAATGTAAATGAAACGTCTACACTAGCAATCACAAAGAAAATATTTTTCCTTTTTAACATATTTAATTCTTTTCATTAGAACAATAAAAAAAATCAATAATGAAAGAAACAGATTTTTTTTACTCTTTTTAATAAAATTAATGATAAAACTAAAATTATTTTACAGAGAGAGAGACTGAAGAATGACTGGGAATTAGACTGGGATAGCACAGTCTTCAGCAGATGAGGAAAAATAAGCTTGGAGTCAAGAAATGCTGGTCTTCCATATTTCAACGTTAATGTAACATTTAATAGTTTATTTGAAGAAAAAAAAGTGAAGGGAGGATTGTTTTGTGTCTCAGTATTTTCCCTAAACAACTATTCTATTGTAATTGTTTTCCATGGATGTTCAAATAAAATTAAAAACGATTTAATTTCTTTTAATGAATTAGTTACCAAAATTAACCTGATACATACCTGATACAAAATTAACCTGACTAGTTTATTTTTGTTAATGAACCAATTACCATTTTTTTTTTGGTCAATGGCTGACACTTGGTTCTATTGAATCAATTACCTAAACTAACCTGTTTCCTGCACGAAATGCATTTTCATAAATACAGGGTGTCCAAAATTATATCGAAGGTTTCCAGAACTTTACTTCAGGAAAACGATTACGGTAAAGAAAAAAAATCTTTTGCAGCAAATTCATGCGACAGAGTGGTGCGCAAACTAGGGGTCGCGACCCCTGTGGAGGTCGACAAATTTTTATGAAATGCATTATCCCTGCATGCTGCATACTATACAGTGTGCATATAAAGAGTGAAGCGCCGTCACTCACTGTTTAATTGCAATTTCATGCTGTCCACTCTTTCTTTGACCGTAATGCGTAATGTATTCTCTATCTGGCTATCCGTGGAAAAACAATATCCCGTTTTATGCAAGAATGCCATCAGAGTGTTAATACAATTTGCATCAACGTATTTATGTGAAACTGGATTTAGCAAACTAGTTTCAATAAAAACTAAATACCGCTCGCGTTTAAGCCCTGAAGATGATATGCGAATTGCAATTAGCAACATACATCCAAACATCGATGAGATAATTAGAAACTTGCAGCCACATACATTTCATTAAAGGGCAATTACTGATTTTTGTGTTATACAAAAAGTATTTTCTTAAAATTATAAAAAAAATTAATATGAGTCAAATATGATGACGTTTTTATTCGATGAAACGAAAGAAATTCTCAAAATATACATCGTATTTGTGAACATTTATCTCTAGGGGTCGCCAAAAATTTTCTCTCTACAAAAGGGGTCGCAGTCGAAAAAAGTTTTCGCACCACTGCGACGGAGAATAAATTTTATTCCCAGGGTTTTTCCTTTTCACTCAAACAATTTCAGACAGATGGCAGTTAGAGTCCCTTCTATTCATTGGTACACATACATGCTGTCTTACGTGTTTAATAGTGTAAATATGGTTTATAAGCCTTTGTCAAATAGAAAGACAGATAGTACAATTCAAAGAAAGACAGAGCGAAAATACACCCAGGGGATTCGAACCTGCCACCTCCACGCTATAGAGTTGGTACGCGATCCGTACGACCAGGTCTCGCGTAGTTCAGAACAAATTCTGATTCGCGAGACAGCTAAAGTTATGCCCTTGTGTAAATATTAACCTTAGCCTTCATACATAAGCCTGAAGTTTGAGCTCTCAAATGACTTATAATCTCTTTTCAAACCGAAAAATAGATAGCACAGAATTCAAAAGGGCATTGATATAGAGAAATATACTTAAGGTTACATAGGGAAGCAAGCCTATTTCCTTAACACTTTAGAACCTTCTGTGGAGGAACAATACTTCTCGGTCACAGAAGATTAATCATAAAAATCTCCTGGCTTTAACAAAGAAGTTAAGATAGATTTTGATGCTTTTTCTGTGACCTCGGGACCTTCCTGGAAGAGCGGTATCTCCGCCCAGCACTCTGTAGCATGGAGTTAGCAAGTTCGAACCCTGCCGTAACCCTGGATGTACCTTCGTGCTGCACTTCTCTGAATAATACTATCTTTCTTTCTATTTGATAAAGGCTTATAAGCCGTACTTATTTTATTGAGTATACAAGGCTGTATATGTATGTATCAATAAATAAACAATATCTGTGATATATCATCATGCGGTCGGAACTAAAATTAAGCTGCGTAATGGGTACGTATAGCTGGGTTTGTGTGCCGTGTTGGAATAGGAAAAAAGAACTGTTAAAAAGTAACCTATGGAAGGCTGCTTTCGTAGTTTTGAAACAAGATTCTTGTATATTGTTGTCTTAAAAGTGCTGAGATTCTTCAGTTATTTAACTGTTATTACTTGTGACTTTACGATTGGAATCCGAGACTGGTTCCTGATATATCTGTGTAAGTCTCTTTCATTTACTCTTTATGTTACATTTCTATATTTTGAGATGCGTGTATGGTATTAGAGCCCTTCAAGACTGTTTTCGTATTGAACATAAAATCTGCAGATTAACCTTTCCCCAGCAAAATTAGATTTTTTTTTTCTTCAGAGAAATTCTTACCTATGACTTTTTTCATAGAAAGCTTTATTTTATTATAAATGATGTTCGAAAACTCATAAATCTCCTCTGTACGCTGATCCTTTGTTTGAGAGAGAAATAGTAAATTGAATTTCTTCTAAACTGATAAGTAAGGAATTGTTTTCGGTGTATTTTTTTACGCTGCATTGAATGAGACCAATCTCGCAGCGATCAGACTGATAGTTGAGAATTTAAGTGTTCCGTGTACAAAAGTACAAGTTTGTATTTTTTATTTACACATCTTTTATTTATACTCTTATTAACACATTTTGAATTGCTATACAGACAAGTGAGGTATTGTTCCCAATACAATTTTTCTCACTTAATCGAATGAGACCAAACACGAATCAAAAGAGCTAATATTTCAAATGTTGAAATTATTTTTCGTTCGTGTGAGATTTTTTAATTAATTGCTCTTTCTACAAAAAACAAAAATTTCATCTTATTCAATTCAATGTAAAATATTACGGGGACTGGAAAGTAATATCGTTTCGGTTCATTTGATATTAGTTATCTGGATTTTATTTTTAATCAATAACGCAGTCACCCTCGTTAGCTGCAACCTTTCAATGCCGGATCGAAAATGAATCGAAAAAAAATGAATTGGCTTACAAGACTAGCAAATATTTAATGATCCGAAACGACATTACTTTCCAGTCCCCCTAATATTTCATAGAAAAATGAACCTCACATGGTCAACTGGCTCATAAATAAAATAAAAGGTGTACTAAGTTAGGGTCAAAAATTTCAGTTCCTATTAAAAAAAAACGCTACAATTTTTAAACTATTTGTTCCATTCACTCATGTATAGTCTCATTGGATTTAGCGTGCAAATTACATTGATAATGTGTCTCTTGATTAGATAGCACCATCAAATACGGAAGTAGGTATAAGTAAAAATGTGTACTTTTTGTGTATAAAACCCTTCTAGTTTCTAAACTATTGGTCTAATTCAATTTAGCGAGAAAATTACGCTGAAAAAAATGTCTCACTCTCTTTCTAAATCACTCGCATCTCTCTCTCAAAAAAAAAGCGAGAAGCATGCAGAGGAAAGTTGGAGAGTTATCAGGTATCATTTATAAGAGGGGTAACAAATCTTTCTGCCAAAAAAATATTTTTGGTATTAATTTTTCCAAAGAAACAACCTTTTTTCTATAACTACTGGAGTACGCAAAAATTTTAAAATTGAGATTTGTACATATTCATCATCTCTGTATGATAAACTGGATGTTACAAAAAAAAATTCATAGATAAATTTTGTTTTATCAGTATTTTTAAATTCTACTTTAGCGTTAATAGCATTAGCAATAGAAAGAAAAAAGTTGTCAAGAGACTTTTCTCGGAATCTATCGTGATTTTTGTCAGTGGGGAAAAATTATTTGTTTTGTAAAATCATTGTCAATAATAAATTGTCCATCTTCAATTTTTATCTCTGTTTTATATATTAATTCAGTTTGAGTTATAGAAAAACTAGGAGATCAAACTTAATTCTTTAAAACAAGGCAAATGTTATAAAATCAAAATTATCCCCTTTTCTCTTCCTTCAGGGGCTCTAACATGTGCTAATTCTTAGGTATCTATATTGGATACCCGTTGTAGTTCCTTAGATATCTATTTGCATTAGGTCAATTTTAACCTATCTATAGCCAGCGCTCTCTGTACTTATTCTGTAAATGGCGCAAAACATCAATATGGTGAAAAACCTCAGTTCAGTGAAAATAAAAGGATTTGAGGTCATAAGTTTTTAATTTTAATAAAGTAACTTCAATGCGGCATTATCTGAGCTCATAAAAATTTGCAAAAACTGAGAAGAAATATAAAATTTTGATATTTTTTTTATATCTGTGGACAAATGTCACCAGATTGGCTATTTTCAAAAAAGTTTAATAACTTTTAAAACATTTAAGTTATTTATTCATTCTAAAGCTCGAGGAAAGGAAACATCACGGCAAAATGAGTGTAAAATGATAGCTTTGCTTTAAGTGTAAGTTACTTAAACTGTTGCTTTTTTATTTTAAATGGCGAAAGAGTTTCGGAAAACCATGTTATCTGTGATGCATCGTATTTTCGATATTAGTTTTTTTTCTGAACGCCATGGATCTTTTTGTTATTTTCTTCTCTGCTAAACAAATAAATTTAACTTTTTGGGGGAACAACAAGGTTGTCTCTTCAGCAGACTGATTAAGCAGTAGTTTTCGGCATTTTTAACAAATATTTAAGTAAGAAAGTTAAAGAGAATCTTCCTTTTTCAACATTTACCCATAATCGAAAGTTTAAGTAGAAAAAATTGAAATTTTTCTAGGTGAAAATCTTGTCTTTATAGAATTTGGCTATAAATGATTGATTTCTTTTACCAAGTTATAATCCAAGTTATCATCTCAGGGGCATTTACACCTATTTGTCCGCATGCCGAAAATGCCCTTTCACAGTCAATCACCCTTAACCAAATAACATAAATTCGTCCTTTTTAGATAACTATAAATAATTCATTATAAAAAATATCGATATTTGGTCACAATGATTGTGCCAATATTGCCGAATGTGCTAATGATGTTCTTTAAAAGTTTTTGTTGTTGAAGAAGATTCCAATGGAATTTAGCACAGTTTAAACAGTTGATATCAATCTTAAAAGATAGCCTCTCTTTTGATAACATGTTATAACGCTGAAAGTCGCGGATTTATAGATTTCGCCAAAAGTTTATTTAAACACACAAGCATGCAATGTTAAGGTATAAAATGCGCATGAAAGATTTCTGCACATCTAACTAAGTAACTACCTCATCTGTATATTCCACAAATAGTTCTTTATCTTTTTTTACACAGTGTTCTGCATTATATATTAAAATCTTCGTCATAAACATGTACTCATTAAGGGTTTCATAGTAATATTTGAGGGAAGAAAAAAAATATTTTTCGAATTTTAACGAATCTCTTCAAATAAAGATGGGACTGAAAAAAAATGAGATGAAAGGTGAATTTTTGAAGCACATTCAACTTATTTTCAAGCAATCAAACAGGTTTTTGATATTTTAAGTTCTTCCTTTCATAATAGAGACGCATTATATTTCGATAATTCTTTTGTTTTTCCCTTGCTTAAATACTAATTTGACTTCATATGTGTGCATTTCTTGCTTCAATAAAGTTTTATATTCAAGGCGATCATTAGGGGAGAGTCTGGTATCCCCCCCCCACTTAAGGAGTATTGCTTATATTTCTGTATAATATTGAGTAATAATCAATATTTTTGTATGTTTCTATTATTTTATCATCTAATTAAATAATGCAAAAAGAATAAACCAAAAAAAGAATAGCTTAACTTAAAAAAATAGAAATTTAAAAAATTTGACTACTGTATTCAATATATTTTCAAAACTATTGCTTACCATGTTACCAGCTGCATAAACACTTGAAACTTTGAAAATATTCCTTTTTTAATATAACAATTAATGTCCGATGGCCCATTGACTTCAAAAAATATCCAATACATATGAAAGTGACAGTGGGCGGGGGTACCCGACACTCCCCTACGTCACACCTTAAGCACAAATTAAGACTTAATATGTTGTTTTAATCGATGCTGTTTGTAAATAAACAAAACAATAAAAAAAGAAATTTTAATTTAAAACAAAGCACCATTTCAAAGTTCAATAAAAATTTACATTTTTAATAGAAAGTCCAACTTATATCCTTTAAAACCGTTCTCTACGGTTTTGGCATCTTTTAAATACTGAATAAATGACACCTATCAGAATGCATGCGCATATCGCAAGTCCAAATCCCACAACCCACCAATGCAACTGCAAATTGTGCCTTCCAGTTAAGCACATAGAAGGTTCTTCATCAGGGGCGTATAATCTGAAAGGGGTGTCTTTACTTCTTGGACAGTTTGGAATACCATTACATACAAGTTCTTTTCGAATGCACGTCATTGAAGCTGCGCACAAAAATTCGCATTCTTTTCCCAAAGACATAAGCGAATAGTCAGACGCAGTCGATGGTGCTGGTAACACTCTAAGCTGCGTCCACCAGAGAGTAAAGTTTATTTCAGACGCTTCACTGGCTCGCAAGTCCAAAATTACATTTGAACTTTTAATATCCTCTCTTTGAACCACAAATGAATGTTCAGCAAGAGTTGGACAAAGAAGAACATGGTTCACTTTCAAATAATCAAAGCTGCAATTGTTACCGAGAAAATTCTCCAGTCTAAAGCCGGCATCTTTTCCTGGGAGTAAGGGAACCTGCCAAATACATCGCACAGGTCCTGGAATATCATTCTCTTGAAATGATGGGAAGGTGATGGATCCTTGCAAATCTAATTTAAGGATTTCTGGTCCACAACGGACATCACTGAAGAAAGTGAAATTTCCCGTAATGTCTTTGGAATTCGAGTTTTTGGAATTACTTGGCGTCATTGGCAGAATTTTCTGTTCTGAAGAAGGTGGGTTTGTACGAAGTGTAATAACCACTACAGACGCTACAGACACAATATTTACATTTCGTTTTCGGCTGATGTGGCAGAAACACAGTGGAGTGTCATCTAGGGTTGCTCCGGTAATCTCTAAAATAATAGTTTCCAGCTTGCAGTCGAGACAAAATCTTGTCAACTTCTCAAATGGCAAATCTAAGCTTAAATTAATTCTGCCGTGCATGTAAGAAGTAGCATCTAGCGTGTAGTTACACGTTACAGGTTGACTTGTAGAATTTAGTTCGTGTAGTGGAAACGTCAACTGTCCATCGTGATCGAAAATGCGGCTACAAGCATGCCCACTTTCTAAAGAGGAGGCTCCGACCGACTTTACTTGAAATTCATAACTTATTGATGAACCATCAAGGGATCCACGTGTGCTTACAAATTCGACGTAGAGAGAAGGACCAGTAGACTCGTACATCGCTTGAGCTTTGTTCATGTCGCAGAGTTTGGTGATGATTTTGGTGGGATTTGGTTCAGAAGCATCGTATAACTTAATGGATTCTTCGCATAGTGTGAACCTTTCTATGCGAAACAGCAAGAAATCAAGTCTGATGACGTCTTCAGATGTTGTGTAAAACTTGTATGCACATGTTGTGTTAGGAGGATACCATGATCGTAGATGGGAAAACGTACTTTCTTTATTTTCTGGTAAATACCTTTCCACGAAGCAACTGTTGTTTCTCAGTTGCAAAGGTTCTGATGTCTCAGGATCGATGATACTGTCGGCTTTAAAGTGAAATCCGGTGTTCAAGAGTGGACCCGCGTTTGAAGTGATGAATTCTACTAAAATATCAGGACCAGATGCTGTAAAAATATAGTACATATTAAAATTTGTATTCAGAAATAAATACTGAAAATACAAGATTTGTACATTTTTATCATTGTTATTATATTATAAGTAGTAGCGATTTATTAGCTTTTGATTCTAATTGAATTTGTTTATTCTTAAAATATCTGTTAAATACACTTCCCTACACTAATGGAAGACATTTTCGGTTTTTTATATTTTTGGGAATTTCTCAAGAAATACTTAGATGACTATTTTGTAACTTTAGAAGTGTTTGGTTCGTGTGATTTTTCATGCTTTGCTATAAAGTTTAAAGAATTCAGGGGTTTTAGGGACTGACAATAAATTACAAAGAAAACAATCATTTTTGAACACCCTATGCCAGAAAATCAAGCAATAAGCTTGTAACTTGTATCGATTGCAGTTATTGCAAATAACAACCAAAGTATGGTTGTTATTTGCAATAACTGCATAAAATTTCGTAAATATAGCAATTTAAAATTAATTACGAAATTACTGTTATAAAATTTGTAAAAAAAAGCTCTTAAAAAATGGGCAAGATATTATTATTTAAAATAGTTCTTTTAGATTACGCATGCGGAAAAAATTTAGAATTATTGTGTCATAATTTTATAGAGACTCGTATTTGGCTACTAAAATCTTGATTTAAATATCTCAACAAAAGTTTCAAGTAATTTTCTAGGTAGTTTTTGTACTGTAAAAGAAAGTTCAAAACAGGGGTTTTCCACATATTTTATTTTGTATTTGATGTCCAGTGATTATAGGGTAATGTAATTTGCAATACATAATAAAATTTGTGAAAAACTCCTGATTATTTTGAGCTTTCTTTTAAAAAGTCCAAAAGCTATGTATAAAATTGTTCTAAACTTTTTACGTTATTAAGATTTTCAAATAAGACTTTTCATTAGTTGCCAAATACGATTCACTACAAAATTATGAAAGAAAAAAAAACATTTTCTTTTTCGCTCATGCACAGTACAAAAGAACTACTTCAAATACTCATCTATATATTGCGCTCTTTTTAAAAAAGTTTTTAAAAAAGTTTTTAAAAATTTCTAAGCAATGATTTTGTAATTTTAAATTGCTCCAAAAATTTCGTTTAATTTTACATGAGTTATAGAGAAAAAACATTAGACAAAAAATTTATTTTTTATTAAAACTGCTCATATCTGCTTAAATATAAACTATAGATTAACGAAATTTTATGATATCCTGCAAATGACAACCAAATTACAAGCTTATTGTTGGATTTTCTGGCTAAGGGTGTTCAAGAATACTTTTATTTTCTTTCGTAACTTACTGTCAGTCTCTCAAACCTCTGGAAGCTTCTAACTTTATTACAAAGTAAGAAAAATCCCATGAACTAAATACTTCTAAATTTGCAAAATTGTCCTAAGCATTTCTTGAGAAATTCAAAAAAATATCAAAAATTGAAACTGTCTCTTCCATTATTGTACGATAGAGTAAAACCCATAAATAAAGCACGGATATGCTTTTAATAAGTATTTTTATAAGATGTAAGCTAATAGAGAGTGAAGAAAGGATTTTAAGAGAGAGTTTTATGTATTATATTCTTTACCAGTGATTCTTTTTTTTATTAAATGCATTGAAAACAAATTAATGAAATATAGTTAATAAAATTTTTGTCACCGTTAATCTATTCAATATCTTACTACAAATATACAGTTCACATCTGATTCATTCTTGCTCTCGCAGCACTGAATAAATTATATCAGAAAGGAAAGATTCTCTTTTAAAAACTATTACAAAATCGTGGATTTATCAACTTTTGATCAATTTAATTTACTCTAGATTAATTAAATGTATAATAATAATAATCTACTTAAGATAGAATTCCTACGAACAGAAGAAACAATTGAGTATTAATAATTTATTTTTAACTGATGTTTGAAATATAATGTAATGAAAAATTCGAGCAAAACTGATATGCTATTTTTCGCGGTAAAATTATTTAATAAAAGAAAAGCGTTTTGAGATCTTTTTAAAGTTGGACTTACAAATCAATTAGCATCATTTTAATGAAATAATTGTTGCTCTAACCAAGGCTAAACTTGATTATATCAGTCTGCATACAGATATTCTCATTATCTCAATTCAATTTGTTATAACATCTCAACTCGAAGTGCTAGTTAGCTATGTAATGTCACGTAAGCAATTAGATATCTGTACATCGTAGGTAAAGAACGCCATGTCACAAAAATGCCATTTTTGAAGAGAGCAGATTTTATTTCCTTTAGAGAAATTTAGAGATGATATTTTTTCAAACTGCCTATGATCGTTTGTTTAATGGGATATTTCTTATAATAGGACATAGTGTTCTATACCACAAAAAAAAATTGCGATTTGGATTTAGATGTTCCAAAGACCGACCTTTTGAAATTATTCAATACTCTGCAATAATTACTTTTAAATAAAGCAATATTTATTTCAAATTTTCTTTATTACCTAAAGTGTTTTAATTGGTTAGATTATTATAAAAGAGAAGTAAAGATGCGTAGGTGTTTATTTAAGAACATCTATGACTTGTATGAAAATATTATAGTTTAGGTTTGAAATTCCCTTCTGATTTCTTAAAGCCAAATTAAAAGCCATTAGCATTATGTAAACATGATAAATCATGTCCTATATTTTAAAGTAAGTAATCTCCGAGCTGCCAGCTTTCTTTTCTGTTTGAAAAAAGGTTTCAGTGGCAGCAAGATCTGTTTTAATGCATGATTATTTGTTTAGTCGACTTTGTTTAGTAAATTTTATTTAAAGTCATTTATTTTCCACACAAAAATGCATGTAAACGATTGAAAAATTCCTATAAAAAGTCACTTTGTCCTAGTTCTCTCAAAGTGAGGCTTTTAAAATATCGAGAAAATTTACCTATATTCTGAGTATAGTTCTTGATTGTCTGCCATTCTATAAAATGTTTCGTAAAAAACCTAGCAGTTGGAAACCCTGAATCTCATTCGCTAATTTTGTTTTGTCTAGATATAACCAGAACTAACAACAAACAACAGAACTAGCAACATTTCTTTCGCACAGTTATCTTTTTGATGTATTGAGACTGCCTGACATGTTACAGTTAAGTTATTGATCTCGATCTAATAAAACTTGATCTAACAAAATTTGATCTAACAAAATTTAGGAAATTTACGTTACGAAGACTAACGTTACGCATATTTTCAATACTTATAAATTAAAAAATACATAGATAAAAGTGAATAAGAAATAGAGGTTGTATAATATAGTAGAATTAGTGTATAATATTTATATTGTATTTTATACTATAATTAATTCGTTTTAATGGCTTAAATATCTCTGAAAGTAAATATCTTCTCACAATTTTCTTCAGATATAAATGGGAGCATGTAAGGAAAACTTACATGCGTAATAATTCATTGACAAACATAAATAACTTTCTTTTGTGACAATTTTTTCAATTATATACATACAGTTTGAAAGAAACTAGCAAGAAATATCCCTTTGAGAAAAATGCAGATAATTGGAATGAATGTAATATGACCATTATGTCAAAAGTTAATTGAGAGCATGGTCCAATTTGACAATTTCATATCTATATACAGGATGTTCCGTAACAACCGTTCTTTATACATAGTTTTAAACTCCTCATTAAAGACAAAGTCAAAATTACTATTAATTGGGCGTATATCTTGAAAGAAACTTTGAAAGAAACAAAAACGTAATCGATATCTGTCAAATCACCTCTAAAGAAAAGGGAACTGAAAATATCCAAATATGAGGAGTTAGACTGTAACGTAACAGTGTGTGACAACTGAGCTAAAAGCATCAATTCCTCGAGAGGTAATGCTAAAATGATGTTGCTTGAGAGACACACACGAGAAGTGATGGTCTTTTTTTGTGTAGTTGAGAAAGAGAGTAATTTTCTGAGAAGAGATATTTCTTTGGAAAATATTTTGTGATTTTTCGTGTGAATGTTTAAATAAATTGTTTGGTACAACTCATGTCTTATTTCTGGTTGTTGTGACACAACAGAATTTTACTGTTTGATTGTCAAAGGAAAGAAAAAGACGAAAAGTGGTTATAACATACACCAGTGTATTTCATCTGGTTTAATCTAATTAAGATTTCCTAAATGTGATTCAACAGATTTCTGCAGCTCTTTTTTTCTATGCTTAAATATTGATTCGCGATCGCTCATATGCATATTTTTTTACTTCATTTTTGACAAGGATTCTAAATATATATATAAATTGTAGTTATACTTGAAACCTTATAATGAACGAAATTCATTCAAATAATAATATAATCCTTATCTTACCAATGATGTTTGACTTCAATCTCCCACGACCACAAATGCTGACAATGAGAGGACTTTCATCAGTTGCTCCATCATAAACTTTTACAATATCAAAGGGGCAATCATCGGCAATCTTAGATATTGGTCTGGGAAAGCACATTAGAAGGTTGTCGCAGCGCAAACCATCTACATCGAAGGCCGTCAAATCAAGGCCCACCAAATACTGCCGGACACTTACGTGGTACCGGCAGTGCAGATTACGTGGATAAATTCCCGGAAATCCAGGTGATTGGACGAAACAGCGACTGGGGGCGCATTCGTGAAAGACTCTGTCACAGTAAGATCCTGGTACTGGTGCGCCCCTTCTGTGAGGATATAAATGGGGAAATTGTCCGTACCTAAAGAAAATATTAAGAATTACAAATTTGAATTAGAACCCAAAATTTTAAATGAAATTGAAAATCAATTTTTAAAGAAAGATTATCAACACATTTCTATGGAAACCTGAAAAAACATTCACACAAAAAACCGCTGAAAGTCATGGAGATTAAGACTCTGCAGATTTGCGTCTAATGTAATATGATATTCATTTTTACATTCGTAAGAATGGATATAATATGGTTGTATACATAAAATATGGTTTACATAACCAAATCATTGAGGGTCAAAGGGGTCATAACGGTTAAGGCTCTACAGTTTTGTGTCTAATGTAATAAGATATTCATTTTTACATTTGTAAGAATGGGTATGATATGGTTATAAAATATGGTTGACATAACCATTTCATTGAGGGCCAAGGGGGTCATAACGGTTAAGGTTCTACAGTTTTGTATCTAATGTAACAAGATGTCCATTCTTACATTTGTTTGATGCTGTTAGTCACTCTTTAAATAATTCAATTAGGACTTTTTAAATTTTTTTGCATCTTGCAAAATTTTTTTAATGTAAGAATTTACACTAAAGTTATTCCTATTATCTTCCAGCTTATAAATAAGGCGTTATGAATTACCAAAAATTAGGAAACCTGCATAATTTAGAATTGTCCTATTATATTTTTTCTGTGCAAATTAGGTGTTTCATCAAATATTTATTTCAGTTTCAATAACTAAAACTATTTTATGTTACTACTGAATAAAATCTCTCTCTGGCTGATTGTTCAAATTTTAATTTTTTCTTTCTGGTAATCAAAAAATCACAAGTTTTAAATAACTTCGTTTGTTCAATTCAAACTTGCTGATTCAATTATCCTTATTCAATTTTGAAAATTTAGATTATCAAATGAGAAACTCTATCAAACAAATATTTGAAAATAACACGAAATTATCGACTCTAAATCTAAATGTTGCGTTTTTGAATTCCATAGATTGAGAAAAGCCAATACCATGTTGTGGCAATGCATGTTTACAGACTAAGAACAGAGAAATGTTTTACCTGTTGAATTATTGTTTCCAAAATTTTAATAAAATGCATAATCTATAAAGTAAATGCAACTAGGAAAATATTTTATCTTATACATTTAGAAGTGCTTTTTCCCTATTTTTGTAGTCTTAATGAGAAATTAATTCTAATTAAAAAAATATCTAGTACTTATTTTTATGTAAAATCTTTTAAGTTTTTATATTTATTTTCCACATTACTTTTATAAGTTGATTTATTATTAGCAGTCTGCCTTGTAAACTAAAATATGGTACGTGTCATAACCACCTTATTTTTAATTTTCAAAATCCTTTGAAAAAGTGGAATGTACACATTAGAAGTAAAAAATGTGTAAATATACAAATTTAAGGTCGTAAATTAATATTTTAGGGAGTAAGAAATAAAAACACTAATAATTATTAGACAAGAAGATGGAAGTAAATACAGAAAAACCAGTTGAATTACCTGAAACTTTAAGGTGTTTTCATTGACGTTTCCTGTCCCACCTATCATTTGATCGTATTTTTTTTACTTAAAAGTTTTCAACTTAGTGTATACTTTTCTGACTTAATATTCACGAAGAATCTAAGATTTTATACGATAAGACTCTCTATATAAAAATCTAAGTACTATAGGCTAGTATAATTCCAATACAAACATACCCTAAATTTAGTTATCTCCTCTATTTCTATATTTCTAACACTAACAAGCATAATCTATCTATTAGCCGTTTTTACAAAGCATCTGAAAAATAACTCTGATAATAAAAGGAAACTCAATACTTAGTTCAGTTCAGTTCATTTTGTTAAAATAACGTCGAGTGCGAATAGCGTACAGTACTGATATCAAATATGCTTACAATAAAAATACACATCTGTAAAATTCTTATTGAAACTAAACAAAGTTTTAATTAACGAAAAAAAACTTTAAAATTAACTGCATCTGTGGCCCCTGGGACAAGATATAAACCCACTAAGTTTTATTTAATTTATTCTAAAATTAAAAGTTCTTTTGAGTTATGTGAAATTCTTGGCCGAATAGAATGATTAACATATCTAAATGATCGCAGAGAGAAAGAAGATCTGTCCCAGTTGATAATAATAATTAATTTTTCAACTTTTTTACTAAATAATATTTTTATGTAGGTATATATTAAATATTTATTTTCGTGATCTCGCGATATTTGTATCTTCCCTTTTTCAAAAAGAAAAAATTTTTAAGTTTATCTTTTGAATTGGAATTTATGTTTCTTTCCAAAACATTTTTTTATAAATTTATTCTATCTATTTTATGCCTGGAAAATGCTTAAAAAATAATTAGTTTTTTCTCTGTAAAAACAAGCAAACTGCTTTTTTTTCGTAATGGATCTTAAAATTGAAGAAAAATATTTACATTTATTAAAATACTTCAATTTTTTCAATAGAAAAAACTTTATTTTATTTAAAAGTATATATAATTGTAGTGAAAATTTTATTGATGTGAAACAATAAAAAATATATTAAGAATATTCAATTTTTTTAAAATTTTAGTTAGTATATTAACTTTAAAAAAGATTTTATTTCTTAGTAATTATTACTTTAAAAAAATCTCCTATTTAACTAAAGAAAAGAAAATAACTTTAAACTGATGAATAATTTTTTTTAAGTAGTTGCTAATTTAAATTAGAAGTTTCTTAATATAAATACTTTAAATAAAAAGAGAAAATGTTTTTAATGAATATTAAAACAATCAGTTTCAATAGAAGGGACGACCTCTCTGCTTGAAGTATGATTTCTTAACCATTCAGCCACAAATGTATGTCTAACGATTTTTTTAATGGTAAATTAACTAGAAATTACAATAGTCGTGTCTAGATCCAAGCAGTAGCAGTTGTGGTAAATTTTTACTTAATCCTATGTTTTCGACCATGATCCTTCATTTGAGCTTAATTTTGTTCCAATGGGAATTTAACAGATGTATACTTCTCTTGTTCAACTATATCGCGTACTCTTTTGCAAATGACTTATGCCAAAAAATTGTAGGCCAGTGGCATACGAAAACCAAACTTTGGTAACCATTTCCTCTTTAATTTTCCTAAAAATGCTGATGTTCTTCTGCGTTTTGGCAATGGTAGTTTGAACAAAAAAAGTATCAACCAGGGAACTCAAATATCAACCTGTCTTATCCTCTTATTCTTCTTTTAAGAGCGTGCAGCAGTGCAATAATAAGCCTTTTTTTTTCCAAATAGTTTGCATGAGCAGATTTTAAGAGCATTTTTAAGTAGGCAAACAGAAATAAAATGGCGGTATGTAAAAATTTGTTTTGCATTCTTTATTGTATCCACACTCATTAGCAACAACCTTTCAATGCCGGATCGAAAATGAATCGAAAAAAAAAATGAATTGGTTTTTAAGACTAAAGAATATTTAATGAGCCGAAACAACATTACTTTTCAGGCCTTCTAATGCTTCCAAGCGGCAACAGACGGGGGAAAAATCTGGTTAAAATGTGACGGTGAAAAAATCCGATTTAAAACTAATTAAGTTGTCAGGATTAGAGGAAAGGGGGAAGAATTAGAATATTTAACGTTAGTTGTGTTGTGCAATTCGGTTTGGTTACCATTAAAATTTATGTGTTGCATAAGATAATTTTGAAAGTGGTCACCGAAGGTAGCTAATGCCTTTTACAGACTAATTTATTCATTTTTAAAGACTTCACACTATTTTCTTTTGCTTACCGTTCAATGTAAAAAAATTCTACAAAACATATTATTCATGGTGATACAATATTATACTTCATACCTAGCATGAACTTCTCCTTGTTTTTCAACGTTAGCATCGAATTGTAAGAAAGTTTCTGGTCCATAACTGTCTGCGTGAAATATTATTTTGACCTGAGGAGTTTCGGAAATGAATGTTTTTGGAGAATCTATGTCACCACAGTAATATCCTGGAGATTCTCTGTTGCTAAATAAATAAAATATATTTAGAATATTTGCAGCAAGCATTTCATTAAATATTTAAATTAACAGAAACTTTTGCTTTAACTTTATTGTAAATTATGAATGGTTTAACCCATTAATCGCTGGTTATTTCTTTTAGTGCAGTAAATAAAATAAAATCTAACGTATCAAAATTTTTAAACAAAAATTACTCTTTAAAAAAAATATTTATTTATTATAATATATTTTTATTATTTATTATAATATATATTTATTATTTATTATAATAAAATATTTATTTATTATAATAATATATATTAAGTTATAAGTTATTACTTTACTAAGGGAAAATTGATAGAGGAAGATTACACTGGGGAGCAAATTTTTGTTGTATCTATACAACTTTTGTTGTATATATATATTTGTTCTATTTTGTTGTACCTAGCGTAAATTCGGTGTGGAGATTTCAAATCTAAAATTAGTTTGCTCCTATAGCTGCAGATTATTTCAGTCTACTTTTTCAAAATGTACAAGTTTTAAAATGTCATATATAACAGAGGTAGCATAAATGTTGTGGTAAACTTCTAGGGAAGTTCGGGCATATCCTCTGGTTAAAATTGCATAGAACTCATGCGTGGATTATAGGGGTGCTTCCCTATTATGACTAGCTCACAAGCACACGAAGAAACAGTTCATAATCTGGAAAAGTCTCTAGCGGCGTATGACATTTTCAGACATGGGTTCCAATCCTATTTTAATCTTGGTGACTTGCTTTAACTCCCCTAGAACTCTGTCATGACATTTATGCTCCCTGCTCTTTATACTTGTATATAACGTTTTAAAACCTGTACAATTCAACAAAAAATAGACTAAAAATGTCATTTAAGAACAACTGTAGTTAGTTTGGAGAGAGAAATCAAATGGAGATTTGAATTTATTCAGATTAAAATGTCCATGATCCGTTAAAAAATCTCATATAACAAAAAATTTGCTCCCCAGTGTTTTTCAAAGATCAAATAATATTTAGTCCGTGTTTCACCGTTAATTAGTTAAACTGCACTTGGATAATATTAGATAATGTAAGTAATGTATGTAACGACCACATAAGAAGAAATCAAGTGATGTAAGGTCTGGAAATCTTGGTGGCCAAGTGATTAAAGGCGAATCACTGTTACCCACGCGTCCTAGAAAATACTTAGAAACCTTCGAAGCCAAAAAACTACAAGAACTTTGAAAAAGCAATGGCTCATCATTACGGACCATGAACAGTGTAAAATTGCAAAATGTGTGGAAGAAACATGATTAAATGTTAGATGTTTATCATGTAACAAAAGGGTCACACATCAAACATTTGTGACTGAAAAAATGGTATTTTCCCCTGAATTTCGTGTGATACTTTCGAGGCGTATAGGAGTGAGAAGGGAACATTGAAGGAAGGGAAGACTTATTGCGGTGTCCTGACAGAGAGTCGAATCCCGCTATCGTTTGACCACTTAGCCATCTCAGCTAGCGTAGAGAACAAGTTTCAAGGAGCCAGTGACTTCATAAGGTCCTAACTACAATAGTTTTCAATTAATTTCAAAAATATAAATATTTAATCAGGCCATTAATTTGTGTTAGCCCAATATATTCTAAACTGAGAAAAAATTACTACAATGCTCACGTAAAATATCCTTACTGGTACACGGATCAAGGGTTAGAATCCCCATGCCATCGGGCTAGTCGTGGGAGAACTTCGTGGTTTTTTTTTCTTCATGCAGACCCAATTCGGGCTAGTTCTATCAATAAGTCCTCCACAAAGGCTAGTTTGTCTTTATGCTTGATCAAGGAGTTCCCATGTCTTCTGGGTTGGGTTCAAAACTACAAATATACGGAGTTGAACAGTGATAGTCGTAAGCTTAGAATTCTGTCGGCTGATCAACGCCGGTTAAAAAAATTAATAAGAAAAATGTTTGACATCTGGAAAAAAGCTTGCTAATTCTCATACTAGTTCTGCAAATTTATTTACAAGTTCATAGTTTTATTTATATACAACAAACAAAATACACTTAAAATATTTTAAATTATAGATTAGCATTTTATAACTTTCACAACTCTGTTTTAATCTGTCGAACGTGGCTTCAAAAATTGCACTTTGGAACTGGAAATAACTTTAAATAACTGGAAATAACTTATATTTAAGCATTCATAAAAATTTACAAAAATGTTTTTTTAAATTTTTACAGTTTAAAATAAACGAACCTGTAATTGCTATCTTTATATCCATCAACTATTTGAACATAGCCTCCGATGCATTGCGAACGATTGTTACTAGGTTGTCCCACTCGCAGTCTGGTGAATCTGACGAACACTACCCAATCATCCCTGACGGGTCTCACTCGAATTTTGTAACTGCAATGCAGTGGCTTTCCTCGGTTCGCTTCTGTTACTGGTGGACTCGACACAGCTTGATAAATATCTACAGTTTTGTTGCAGTGATCGGAATCACCTAAAAGAATTGTAAAATAAATATATATAAAGTTAAAGTAAAATGAAATAAAAATTTTAAAATCTATGTTCTTTGAAGAGCCTAAAAAGAACACATCAAAAGTAAAAAAAGTTCGAAAAACGGAGGGGGATTTTCTGCGGTGATAAGTTTATTACAGTGATGTGTCGTACAGCTTTTTAAGTGTAACAAAAATAGAATTATGTATTTTTTAATCCTTCAGAATTTAAATTTAGTTTATCATAGATCGCATAATCAATAATTCAATTTTAGGAGGAATTTATGTAGCAACCATGTTTGCTAAGCAAACATCAAATCTCCAAATTAAAATGCTCTAACAGTAATGTCGCAACTAAGCATGCTTAAAAGCTCCAATGACCCCTTTAAGCTTTCCCCTCCCCTAAGGAGCCCCGCTCTTATTGACCACCAATCACTATTTCACTAATTCACTGTAAATTACTTAGCAACAATTGTTCAATTGTCATGTCATGAATGTTTAATGTCGCTTTCTCATAGGTACACACTAATTACTTCGAGTCAATTCACCCATGGCAACAATGTATAACATCAATTCACTCAGCCTACAAACTCTCTCAACGTAACTGTCCTAAATATACCTGAAATAACAGCAACGCATACTGCAAACAAGCTTACAACTGCTGTCTTACAGCTACAACATTAAATCCTAGCTTAAGTACCAATTTTTTTCTTTCTAATGGCAGATACTGAACTTTTTATAGTTTATAATTTTTGATAAAAATTGTTGTCAAAATACTTTTTTTGAAAACATAAATGGTATAACATTATGTGTTTATGTATACTTCTTGCATATTCTAATGTTTCAAGCAATATGATTCAGAAAAGTATGAATAAAAATTCGGTACTTATGTATTAACGTCACAGCACCTACAGATTTGGCGGTTTTTAAATGCCGCCAATCCACACCTAAAATTTTTGTGACAAATCATAAAATGAAACACTTTGTATAAAATCAAAGTAGTTTATCGAATTTCGGTGGACAATGGGCAAAATATTTCGCTCCTGAAAAAATAAAATTGCATATTGTTCTATTTTTGGCAAATCCTAAAGACACATTTTCGTAGCACTAAAAAATGGTAACAAAAATCGAAGAACAAATCATTTTGGAATTCTTCGCAGGTAAGTATTAGTTTTTATAAAATAAAAAAAATTTACTTTTAAGTAGTTTTTTTTCTTATTTGATGATAGTTTTCTATAGAATGGTTTTCTGCGTCCGATTATGAATCAAAAAAGAAAAAACATGAAAGTTGTTTATTTTAATGTAAGGAATTTTTAGAATTGGTTTTTTCTTTTTTGCTTTGTATCGTAAGCATTCTTTATTTTACGTTTTTTAGTTTCTAAATAATGATTTTTATTAAAACTTGAAATTTTTTGATAAAAATTGTTGTCAAAAAAC